TAGGCTTTACTCAAACGTATCTTCCAGAAAGACACCCAGTCTTGATTTGAAGACATCCACCAAATGCCCTTGGTAGTTTTTTCCAATGGTTCATCATCTTCACTGTTAAAAACATGTGCCTGATTTACAATTTAAACTTGTCTGCTTCAGCTTCCAGCCATTGGATCTTGTTATACCTTTCTCCACCTTTCTCCAGCCCTACAGTACCAGTATTTTTTTCTTAATGAGAATAATTATAACACTGTAAATCAAGATGCCTCTCAATCTTCTTTTTGATAAACGAAACAGATTGATCTCCTTAAGTCTCTCACTTTTAGGCATTTTCTCCAGCCCTGGAATCCTTTTTGTGGCTCTTCTCTGCACCCTCCCTAATTTTTCAACATCCTTTTAAAAACGTGATCAGAATTGTATGCAGTATTCCACTATTGATCTCACCAGTGCCATATGCAGAGGCAAGGCAAACACCGCCCCCCGCTCTCTACTCCCCTGTTTATACATGCAAGGATCACATTAGCCCTTTTTGCCATAGTATCCCACTGGGAGCTCATGTTCAGTTGCTTTTCTATTATGATCCCTCGATCATTTTCATAGTCACAGCTTTCCATAATAAAGGTCCCCTTCATTCTGTATAACTTTGTATTTGGTTGTATTACAGGTTTTGTTTGTATGGGTCCAGTTTACCAAGTGATCCAGACTGCTCTGCATTTCTGCCCTGTTATCATCGTTTACCACTCCACTGATCTTCATATATTTTATTTTGAGTCTCTTCTGGGTATTTCTAGCCCTTGCACAGGAAGTAAGAAGAGAAAGAACTGAGTGCAGGTCTGGTGAAATCCTGCTGCTAGGATCAGTCAGATAGCTGAGTTTTTTTAACACAATTCAAAAATAAAGCAAAAAGGAGTTTACTGAAAATTGATGTGGGTTTTGCAAAAGAGCCATTGTAAATCCTCTGTTAGTCCAAATGAAGTTCTTTGATTAGATTTTCAGTCCCACTGAACATGGTGATATGCAATAACCATTGCCTAGTTGCATCCAGAGATTCTAGTAACCGATGAGAATGAAGCTTTGGGATGTTGCCAGTTCTTCCCCTGACCCAATCCCAAAATACAGTGTTAGACTTTTTAAACAATAGGTGTAAAATCCTGGCCCAATTTGCCTTTGGTTTCAAACTCCTATGGGCTCCAGTGGGGCCAGGATTTCATTCTAGAGGTGGGGAGAAAGCTGGTTTTCTCTCTTCACCTGTAGATGCTGCCTAAATGCTGAACCCTAAACCAACCACAAAATCCAATTACTCTCCATCGGCCTGAATTTCTTGTGTTTCATTTCACCACAAGAGAGCTGGCATTAAATTCAGAGGTTTATTTTTAAAGGGGCCACTCAGCTGTACTATTTTATTTGTTGTGATTTTTTTCTTTTAAAGCACAGTTTCAAAACCTGCCTCAAACTCAAACCTCTTGTAGTTACTGCGGTTTTCTTAAAACACAGGTTTTGGACAATTAAAAGTTGAGTGTAGGTTAAACCAATAACCAAGTGCTTAACTGTAGATCTGGCATTCATCTTCCCAAGTTACTGGATGACATGATCATAATACATGCCAACAGTTTGGACACAGGTGATCTGTGGCTAACAAGCCTCCTCTGATAAGAGGCGATAAAAGGATATCTAAATATCTAAAATGAAGCAAATTGAATTGCCCATGAAACACAGCAGCGCTACAAATGAAAAAAGGAAAAACCCACCCACATAAATCCCTTTCAGCTGACAGAGGCGGCCAGATACCAGCTAAGGGTCTCTCTGTTCTTCAGGGTAATCCTCTCCCACCCTACTTCCTTAATACATCTCTGCAGCTCTCCTGACCCTCCCTTTGCTCCCCATTCCTCTCTGATCATTCCCCCTTCACACTTTCCACTACTTCTCAGCTGCCCTCTTTGCTATGTTACTCACCTCACCTGCCTTTCTGATTCATCTCTGCTTCTCTTCTGTCTCCTTTAGTATTTTTTTTCTTTCAAAAAGACAGCTGTTATAGCTGCTCTGTCCTTCTCTATTCCAGGTCCACCATACCCCCTTCCACTCCCACCTCCCTTGCCTGTCTTTTTATACCTTGTTTTACCATGTTAGTCTTCTAATTGGCTTCACATACCCACTGACATTATCTGGACTGTCTCAGCCATCAAATGCTACTCTGAGAAGAGAGAGTGCTGAGACGAGTCCTAAAATAAATGTCTGATGATGAAGATAAAAACGTCAAATTATTTTGTCTATTGGGTCAACTGCCATTTATTTCATTATTAGGCTGAACAGGAAAAATATTTCTTAGGGACAGTTATCCACTCATTTGTGCCTCTGTACAGAAGAGAATCACATATGCACATATCCTTCTGTTAATGACTTATTTCCAGATGTCCAAAGCAGGTACTTTATACTATGTAAAAACATTATTCTTAGCAAAGGGTCCGTTAAAAATGCCTAAACTGAGATGACCCATGTTGTGTTCTTAACGGTGTGGATTTCAATTTATTAAGGAAGTGATCAAAATTTGTATTCATTCAAATCAAAATAAATGTGCTTAACCTTTAGACAAAAGGAAGTGCATCATAAACATGCTCTCTCTTCTGCACATTATCCTTATTTCTCCTTTAAACTAAACAGGAATGTGTAAGTTGATAAAACAGCAAAAAAAATTATAGATATATATACATATATATTCAGGTGTCCTACCACCAACATCTCTCTAAGTACCTTACAAGGCAAGGTTGGGCTGTTTTTAATCAAAAACAGTAAGGATTTCTAAGTCTCTCTCTCTCTCTTGCTCTTAGAATCCTATAGGAGGCATCAGTATACCACTGTAGAGCGGTCTACAGCAAACAGTGATGTGAGACACTGAGATAAGAAGTGAAGCAAGTCTCTCCATAGCCAGTAGATGTCATTGGTCACGCTTCATATCACAACTTGCCTGGCACTGATCACTGTCAATGGCACAAGAGGTAAAGGACACAAAATAGCTCTGCTACCAGGATGTAAAGATCACCAAAGAGGGCCCTCCATCCCTTCTTTACTTTATTCTTTAATGATTCTGTATTTTTTCCTTATGAATGGAGCACAAATGCTGCAGTCTCCTTCACATTAAAATTTTATTCCCTATTCAGGCTTTTCAACTAACTAATAACTAAAGTCTATCACAGAAATCAGATGTTTATCAGTAACAGAAAATATATTAATCCAGTACAAAATCTGTTGTCTCTTTTCCCAAAGTTCCAGTCCTTATTGCATCTAACTGGTGGCATCAAGTTCTGCAAGTTCTTTTCTAAGAGCTCTTATCTTACCTGTTGCCACTACCAGACCTTCAGTTGCAGGTTTTGCCATCCCCACAGCATTCGGTTGCCTGGAAACTCTCCCTATGGGGTTTCTCCTTAATGCCAGGGGATAGCTGACTTGAGATGCTAGGCTCTTCATCTGCACTCCTGAAATCCTGTGCTTCAGGTCTTTACAAATCCCTTATATCACTAGATGGACCCAGGAAAATGGAAGTACTGTTCCCTGAAAGTCAGAGTTTCTACACACTAATTGCCACTGAACCAAAACCAACAATGTCCCGACATCTTTCTTGCTTATAAATGAAACTGTATCAGCACCCTCTCTGCATTAAATTTCCACACACATTAGATTCTAACTTTTAAAAACAGCCACATGTGGGGGAGCGAGGGGCTAATGAACCAACTTCTCACATCTGGAGATCAGAGTTCAAATTGGCACGTAGCTCATTAGTGAAAATAGTAGTCTACATCACAAAGCCACCACACAAGCTGTTATCAGACCCTTGGCAGTCTCTGACCAAAGGAGGTTGAATACCATAATAGTAAATCATATATTAAAGTCAGGATCCAGCCACCAATGCATATAGAAGCTGGCACACCAGCCTCTGCTGAGAGTCCCTCTCCTTCAGAGCCACCAAATTCACTTACACACTACTTTAGAAAAACAACTCAGAACCTGCCATTGTGAAAAGGGAGAGGATCCATGGTCTTCCCAAAATCCTGGGATTCAAAATTCACAGAGGAATATTTTTAGAGTTGTTGAAAGAGATTAAACATCTTTTCTGGATTAACTATATAGGAGCAAGCACTGTAATATTAGGAACTGGATTATCTACGCTTTCACATCAGTTTCTGCCATCAGCATCCGTAACGATGCCAGCTGCCTGATCAGATATACACCCTCACATCCCTATCAGGCTGAAAGAGGGACAGAAACAAAACACCCTTGAAAGAAGGAGGTCAATGTCCTTTAAAAGTCTTTTAATGAGTAGCTTTCTCCTTTCTCCATACTACCCCCAAGACAATACGGGAGAAAAAACACAATTGGAAAAATGCTGTCAGGCTGTTTAAAAGCCCATCACAGGAGCTATGTTTGGGCTTTTTTTACACACTGAAAGCCTAAAAGGAAACATATTGTCATGGGGTTTTTTGGGGTGGGTCAAGTTTCAGACTCCAGTGTAAGGGGAGGAAATAACTCTGTCCCCAGGTTTTAAACTGCTGGCTGCATTGTGTGTGTAGCTGCTGGGAAGATTTCAACCTGCCCAGAACTTCAGTGGATGGAAAACATTTAGCTCTGCTGAGGTAACAATCTGGGTTGTAGACTGCAAATGTTTGGGGACCCCATTTATTACTGTGCTAGTGAACACCTCTAATTATACTGACAGGGTTAAATCTACCCGATGGCCCGGGGCAATCCCATGTCTGTGGGATCTCCAAAAGCCCAACATCCAGGGAAATTTTGGGAAAGATAAGCCATGCACTCTCAGCACTGTTTCCCTCCCCCTTCTATGACCCCATGTCATAGAAATGCACAGTCAGTAGCTGGAGTAAGCTTTATAACCTTAAAAGACAATGAATATGCAAAAGGAATGAAAAAGGAAATTGTTTTTCCAGCTTATTCAATTATTGATCTTTCAGGGATCTGTGTTGCTTTCTCATCTGATTGACGAGCTTGAAACTCTGTACCTCAATCACCTCCGTCTCCTCAATGAACCTCCTGCTGACGGAATACAGGGCCTCCTGCGGCCACTCATGAAACCAGTCAATAGCTGTGCAGTTAACTATGGCTGGGAACTTCCGAGCTCTAACTCTCAGCGTGGAACCAACTGGAGAGAAACACAAAATGATCTGCAGAGATGAGGAGGGAAAAGAGAGTAAAGAATTACATGGCAAGTTGAGGCGATTAAAGAAAGGAATGTAGTGAACCATGGCAATGAGCCATTGCAAGTGGGTTCACAGCTGAAATTCCAATCAGCCTAGCAGCTAATGAACTTAGGCAAAAAACAGTTTTACCTAATGCAGATAAGTTTTACTCACTATATTGTATATTATACAAACAATGCCTGCCTGTCAGTTCTTCCCCTCCCTCCCCAAGCTAGTATCAGTTATTTAGCTTGATGTATATTAAAATCAGTAATGTGACTGTAAAATTTTGTCAACACAGAGACAGTTAGAGATAGACTGTTAGATTGGCTATGTAGGTTAAAGTAATATCTAATAATGTTTCAAAATCTCCCTGCAAGCTCAAAAGGCATCTGAAAAAAAGAAAAGGGCTCATAGTTTGTACATGCATTTCCAATGATCACTCTTTCTGGAAAGCAGAATACAGCTTCCACATCAGGGCTAAAACATCTAGGTAAAATATAAATAAATAAATAAAAAATAGATAAAAAAATTAAATAAAAAAATAAACTAAATAATAACAACAATTAATACCACGATGAGACTATTTGTTGATATCAGTGTCTTGCAAAAGCTACTCCAGAGGAGCTGGTGGAGTGGATATTTACTCTACTTAACATCTTTTTAGAGCGTTATGTTTGATTTAAGATAATTAGCTGACTGTCAAGCATTGGACTGTCAAAAGTGAGAAGGAGTGTTTTTTTGCCCATTTCTACCCTCCTAGATGAAATGCATTGTTTCTCTTATTATTTAGGACTACTTCATATCATGTGGTATCAACATCTGTTTGAGTAAGTATCTTAATACTATTAGTTCCAGTGGAAAAATACCCAAATAGTACTTTCACTAAAACGTCCAGAATTGATTATAATCATTCCTAATAACTGCAGAAGCCAGGACAGAGACTGGCGAAGCACTTTAGATAGATGATAGGTTTATTCTGCCTCTTTAGTCATCTGTCACTGCTGTTATAATTTATTCACAGAAAATTGTCAAGAAGCAAAGTGAGGACAGCTGAAAAGGAAGAAAAGCAGAGAGATAAAGAAAGCTGGGGTGGGGGAAATATAGAGGGGTGAAATAAGAGAAGTCAAGGAAGGATTAAAAATAGAGGGGATTGGTCAGGAATAACATTTGGCAGGGATGGCAGACCCTTGGGAGAGGAGGGGAAAGAAAGACAAGTTGGGATGAGTGGCTTCCATACAAAAAAAATACCGAAGACTAGTTACTACAGAACAGTTTTCTACAAATTCTTCCATGTGGGAGTAACCCCTATGGACAGGTTGCAGAGTAACAGCCACGTTAGTCTGTATTCGCAAAAAGAACAGGAGTACTTGTGGCACCTTAGAGACTAACCAATTTATTTGAGCATAAGCTTTTGTGAGCTACAGCATCCGATACAGGTGCATCCAATGAAGTGAGCTGTAGCTCACGAAACCATATGGACAATTTGTTGCAATCAATCTGCACTTATGGGCAAAGGTGAATAAATTCCAGCAGCAATGACCCCAAACTACCATTCAAATAATGAAGATTATGCTCAGATTGTAAATTCTTTGGGGGAAAGGACGGTCTTTTTCTTATGCCGGTTTGCCATGCCTCATAAAAGGAGACCCTCATCACTGACTGGCACCTCTAGAGTCTGTTGCAACACCACCACCCATGTGGCTTTTGTCACTTTGCCGTTGGTCTGTTCTAGCTTTGAAGGGCTTGAAATCAGTGCACGGTTATGGGGATTTCCGCCCATGCTTCCACCCCTTTCTACCAATGTGATAAGGAAATTGTTGTTGAATTCACAATTAGTGGTGTAGGGGCAAAGTGGTGCTTCCTCCTGATGGTGCTGGCTCCAGAAGCAGGACTATGTGATCACTGACAGCTTCACAGAACCGCTGGCACTGTTCTCAGAGGGAAACGCTACTGGCCAGAAGATTAGCATAAAGAGCACAATTTCAACAGTCCTTTTGCAAATCATTATGGAGATGGGGGGAGGAGGAGGAGAGAGTGAAAGACTGGCAGAGAGGGAGAAGAAAGTGATGGGAGAGGAGGTGAAGAGAGATGAAGTAAAGAAGACAGACAACTGTTAACATGAAAATACCAGCTGAGTTAGTAAGATGGCAACTGGAGCTGTTACTGGGAAAAATCCTACATATAAAAAACAAAATTAAGGCCCCAAATCCATGCATTTGGGATCATGGTCTCAGTTTTGCACTGCACCCCTCATCATTTTTTATTCCATTTACCCCCTTTTATTTTACTCCTAATTAATTGTGGCTCACATGTAGCAATTCAATTTCCATCATGCTTGGCACAATGCTTCACTTTGCTATAGCTATGATCTCGGTTTGTTTATTTCTTTGTGTGGCACGGGGGGGGGGGGAAGGAAATGACTATTTCATATTATAATGGAGATTTGATTTGCTGTAGTCACTCTGTTTTCCCCAGTTGATCTAGTTTATCTACAGACAGAGGGAACACCCCTCTCATATTTACCTCAGATTCCTCTACCCATAACTCACTTGTACATTTATCCTGGATAGCACTTGAGAATGTGTCAACAATAATAAGCTTTGAACCAGAGTTGAGTGAACAAAAATAGGATACGAGGTTCTGTTAGAGAATCTCAAAAGTATGGCTGATTATCTGAACTTTTTCATGCCCCTTTTTCATGCCTCCTCTCCTCTGTGATCTTAAAATAAGTTCCCCTCTCCTCCATACAGCCCTCCTACTTTTCTGCAACCATGCAGTTCAATTATAACACCAAGTTGTATTTATTACACCTTTACACGTGTTCCCTTTCTATGTTGCAAAACTATGTTCCAATCTCATGAAGCTGTTACTTCTTTCCCACTTAACTAAGGGTATGGCTACACTGCAAACGTAAGTCAACTTATGTTAGGTCGACTTACAACTACTGCAGTAATTACTGCAGTGGTTCATGTCCACACTGCCCTTCTTCTGTCGGTGGTGTGTGTCCTCACCAGGAGTACTTCCACCAACTGAAGAGGGGCAGTGTTGGGGGCTGAGAACCTGGGCTCTCAGCTACATGCACTGCTCCCCCCAGGAGCTGGTCCACCCCCGGGCTCCCAGCTCCCCACCAGGCTGCCACAGGGCTCCCAGCTTCCATTCCCCACTGGGAGCCCAGGGGAGCAGCAGCTTGCTCCCCGCAGGCAGCATAGCAGCCACCGGGGTGGCTCTCAGCTCCCCACTCCATGTCAGGACTTGCAGCTCCCTGCAGCTGCCAATAGGGCTCTGGGTTCCCTTCCAGGAGCACACCTGCTGTTGGGGCTCTCAGCTCCCTGTTGAGTGGCTGCTACGTTCCCAGTGGGAAGCAGGGAGCTTCAGTGCAGCCCGGCTCCCAGTGGGGAATGGGGAGCCAGGAGCCCGGGCAACAGCCTGGCTGGGACTGGGGAGCAGGCAGGCGCAGCTCTGCTCCAGGCGGGGAACCGGGAGCCTCTGGGCTTTCTTGTCAATTTCACGGCTCTAGCAGGGAGCCATGAAATTGACAAAAATGACAACCAACAGCCAATGCAAGTAACCTGCTGTGTCTACACTGACACCACATCAACCTAACTACATTGACATAAGCCCTATGCCTCTTGTGGAGGTGGAGTTATTATGTCAGTGTAGTAGGGCATTTACATCGGCGGGAGCAAGTCTGTAGTTTGTACACTGACATAATTAGGTTAGCATAAGCTGCCTTATGTTGACCTAATGCTGAAATGTAGACCAAGCCTCTGTTCCTCACATTCATGCAGATTTCATACCCAGCTTTCTGAGTACCTTTGATGCAAGGACAATCAAAATCCAAAGTCTTGCACACACTGCTAAGCAGGAGCGACTCAGAATTTAACAGTTTCTCAGTCTTCCGTCCCAACTAGTAGTTTCTCTCCTTTCTAAATGTTAGGCACAATTACTTTTATGGTATAATAATTACTTTTGATGACCTATTTAATTAAACCTGTGGAATTATGATTTATATTGCACTTTTGGGGTGCGGATGCTTTTCTACCTAAGCTTACTTGGTTTTTCCACCTCAAAATGGCTCACGAGTATCTACAAGGTACTGTACTTTTTATGCTTTCTTTTAACTTCCTCATAGCATATAAATTGTGGCTTTATTGAATTAGCTACACATCCCACCTGCTTTCCAGTCCTCACACACAGAACTTTTTGAGATTTTAAAATGTACATTCTAGTAACGTGTTCTTGCATTTGCTCTGATGTAGCCAACAAACTGCCACCAGTGCTTATTTTGGTGACCTGTAGGCAAGGGCCTCAGAATGCCAAAGCATTTCAGAGCTAATTTCTACAGCAAATGATGAAGATAATTAAGGAGACAGGAGGTGGGAAAAGTGAGGAATGAACAGTCATGGAGGAGAGGAGGGGAACTGGTTGAAGCAACAGTAACCTTAACAAAAGTTGTTAGTATTTATACCAGCATAAGCAGAATTGGTGTCAGCCCCACACTTTAATAGCAGCATTGTTTTGAAGCTCCAAATAGAATAATTTTGTTGTTCTTATCCTGGCATTTTGCTTTTTACTCTTGCATGTTTTGTCAAAAAAAGGGCCCAGATTTAATCTGAAGTCCAGATTCTACTCCCAGACCTAACTAAGGTACAACATAAGCAGTGTTCACAAAGAAAACAGGGGCTTAATCTATAGCATTGATTTTAGTAAAACACTGAATAGTAAAGAGATGTTTTTACCTTCATTAAGCTTGAGGTTCAGGAATTGATTGAAATACTTAATGTATTCTCTTTTATATCTTATTAGTCTGTTTTTACACCACAAATCTGGGGAAAGGAGGTAGGGAGGAGGAGGAGGAGGAGGAAGGTCACCCAGCAATAACCATAAGTACATACAGATATCTGTGAGTGTGTTAACTCATGAATTTTATGTCTCCTACAAAACAACAAAATCTCTAGTTTGCAGTCTTTGCGATATGAATAGATACCCCCTGTTGTTGTCTCCAGAAATGGTAATTTGCACAGTGTGAGACCTGCAAAATGGTGGCAAGGTAAGAGGCATTTTGAAAGCAGGTTTTTAAAAAGGCCTTTTAAAAATAATGAAATCATAGGAGCAATCAGAGGGGTACAAAGGGAAGGGAAGGGAAGGGAAGGGAGAAGATAAAACTGAGGAAGAGATATACAGGAATTCACAGCTTTTTTCCTCCCTTCTTAAAAAAAAATTGCATATGAATTTGATGTTCATGAGCCTGAGAGACTAACAACACTAACTAGAGCTAGATATCAAGTGGGCAGCTATTTTCCCCTGATGCACTTGAAGCCTGATGATCAAAAGTAGCAGAGAATGCAATTCATACCAGACCCTCCCTATGCCTCCCAGAGACCAATATCCAATGTTCACCACAGTTCTGGGTTAAAGAAAAAATCACCAGTGGAGGACAGAAGTGATGGCAATAGAAGAGGAAGGCAGAAGACACAAAAAAGCAGCGGAGAGTAAGTGGATGTGAAGAGAGGTGAAAATTGGTTAGAGATCAGCTTAATCCCTGCAGTACAAGAATTTATATCCATTTCAATCCAAAACTGCTGCTTTTTTTTAAACAGTTATAAAAGTGGATATTCTTGTTATCTGTATAGATGAGATGTAAAATTGAGGTGTGTGTGACCTTCAAGCCTTTAAAGATGCCATGACACTTTTCACAAGAGCAGAGTGGCTGGCTTCTGTTTTCCAGTTTCCAATATGGATAACTATGTTCTGTCTACGTAACATTTCCCTGACACTAGGTTTCAATAGGATATGGCATTCTTCTTCACATCCTACCCTAAATTGCTTTGTAGTGTTGCTCTGTTAAACAGCTCCAACATTTTACCTATAAAACAACTGCATTATGATAGGGAGTGAAGGGGACTCTAAAGTGAAATTTTAATCACTAGTGCAAATGCTTCCTGCAGACATGATTTACACCAGTGCAGCTAACCAGTAGTTAGAGTCCCAGTATTGATAAGGCCTGTATCTAAATACACTTGCATATACTGTTACAGCCTAGTCCAGCTCCCAGTAACTTCAAGACAGATTTAGGGAAGAATTAGGTCCATAGTTTGTAACCCGTTTGTACGTTACTTTGGGATCTTTCTGCATGAAAGCCACTATATAAATGTAAGCTCATTGTCAAAGGCATTACCCATGTGGAAATGTGCATCTTTATGTGTAGCATCCTGGATTCTAAACACACTCGATAGCATATTCAAATAATCCAATTTTCCATCACCAGCTGCTGGTTTCACAAAGTTTCTCTAGCATGTGATTTTCCTTACTTTTAGTTGTAGTCGTATTCTGTCCAAAAAGAATCTCCAACAATTTTCTTTGGTGTCAGTCAGACCCAGGCTTCGGACTTCATTCCTAATTCCTGTAATAATGCCATCCATATCTTCATTGCTGAATAGATCTGGAACTTCTCCTGCATAACAGCATAAGGGGGACGGGGGCAGGGGAGAGAAGAAATCAGAAAAGTCCTAAAAAGCAAGAGTCCAAACTATTAACTAAAGTATGTTTTATATGATCTAGCAGCAGGGACTACCTTCTTGTCCTGTCTGTACAGATCCTAGCACAGTGGGCTATTGGTACATGACTGGGGATCCTAGGTGCTATGGGAATAAACAACAGCTAGTGCTACCCAGACATTTTTATCGAAAGAGAGAATTTTCTCTCAAGTGAAAAAAAATTCTGTGTTTTACTTCTACAAACCATGAAGTACATTCATGGGTGTGCTGTCCTCTAAAACAGTAGCTCTCAACTTTTTCCAGACAGTTACCCCATGTTACAAGTGAAAAAGAGTTTCAGGACTCCACTCAAGCTATAAAGAATGGGATGCTGGTCATAACCTGCCCTCGTCCTGTTTGTGACCTCCAAATTCAGAATCCGTACCCCAAAATATTAACAGAGCCCGATTCTCCTCTCTCTTACACTGGCAAAATCAGAATAAATGCATTTATATCAGTGGAATTACACCAGTGTAAAATGACATCAGCGAAGAGAAGAATCAGGGGCATGAAGTCTACAATCTATGAATCACATGACCTTGTTATTAGCCTTCTCAAGGGGGCACTGATTCCTTAAGCAAACTAGGTATAATACTCAAGTTGGCTGGGTTTAAAATGGCTGCTTTTGAAGGATTCCCCCTGCAAACATCTCAAAGACAAATAATCTCTCTCTAAAGTTCACTGAAACCACAGATCGTTTGTCATTGGGGAAGATCTTTCAAGAAATGTGTTGGTCTAATCACCTGATGCCAACAAGTCATTAATCAGCACAAGAAAGCGCTCATCTGCAACATGGGCATCTGTCAGCAAAACCACAGTGGGCATGCTCTTGGCTCCAGTCTTGATGTACAAATTGGCAAGATCTACCTGTAAGGAAAAGAGGCAATCATTCATGGTTTGTTAAAGTGTTGATACAGTGGGGGGAAAGCATGAAATGCATGTAATTGACAGCAATGCCTCGTTGCCTTTACAATTTATTTCCAGCTTTTTAGCTTGCCACATTGCATCCAAAGGGAAAAAAGCAGGTTATCTCCAGTTTTTGACATCTGATGACAAGAACAGTGGCTTTGACATGACCAAGTGGTGGTGATGAAAACAGGTTGCTAATCAATAAAAATTGCCTCCTAATATAGTGAAAACTGATATTGTAACACCTCTGCCAAGTAACTCCCCTTCAAGAACAGTTGTAATTATGCTAATAATATCTAGGCATCACACAGAAAAGCCAGCTTAATCTTTTTGATCGGTTTTCTTATTGTATCTGTTGTACGCAGAATGCAAAGGGTTGTTTGTTTGTTTGTTTTGCTAGGAAGAGCATTGAAGGATTTCGTTGAGAGAGGAATGGGATGTTATTGTTGTTATTTGTATTGCGATAGCACCTAGGAGCCCCAGTTATGGATCTGGATCACATTGGGCCAAGCATTGTACAAATATGGAACAAATAATTTAGAAAAAGAGAAGACATCACCTGCATCTGAATTTGATTTCTTTTGTGATATAGATGATATACCATGCCAGTTGATATGCTCAGCCCGCCATGTGGTCCAGTCCTAGGGAGATCTTCTGGCTTTGACCGGGATCAGCAGGTTCCTCTCCCCTCCTCAATCGTTTAGGGCAAAAGTTCATCTGCTGCTACATCTTAGGCTATGTCTACACTGCCACACAGCCCAAACTGTGAACTGCAGTTTACACCAAAATGCTATGCTGTAACTCCCCCTGTGTGGATGCTGCAGGCGTGAACTAAGGTTCCTAGTTCATCTTAACATCATCGTCATTGAACAGGATGTCAACTAGGAACCTTTTGGTTTCCTCCCACGCTGTCCACATGAAGGAATCACAGCACAGCACTTTGGGGCAAACTACCCTTCGCTCCCCGGTAGTGTGAACTGCAGGGCAGTGTAGAAAAGCCCCAAATCTTCACTTGAAGCCATTGTCCTCCAATTCTGACATCACAATTAATTGTAGAAATGATCAGGAAGTCTAGCAGGAGATGACGACTTCAGGATACAAGGATTATTTCACACAAAAACTGAATACAAAAAAACAAATGGCTCTATACTTGAAATCATTCCTAGCTAGAATGCTTCATCGGGGGAAGGGATAGCTCAGTAGTTTGAGCATTGGGCTGCTAAACCCAGGGTTGTGAGTTCAATCCTTGAGGGGGCCATTTGGGATCTGGGGCAAAATTTGGGGATTTGTCCTGCTTTGAGCAGGGGGTTGGACTAGATGACCTCCTGAGGTCCCTTCCAACGCTGGTATTCTATGATTCTGTGATAAGGTGGCAACAGTAGCTCAGTGAAGGTCCAAATTCTGCCATTACAATCTCTATGCAATCCCCTTAACTTCCAGGTGGTTTCAAATTAATATTCTTCAAATAGGGAAGAAAAGCAGCATAAATATATACACTCTTGCCATTCACTGTAGGCAAAATCCCCTGCCTTTTCTATTATATGCTTGCAAGGTTCTATGGATGGGAAGTAGAGCAGAACCATATGCAGTGTGTTTTCAGCCTTCGTGTTGGTGCTGGGAAGGATGGCTTGGGGGAGAAGTGTGCACTGGAGCATATTTTACTGTTGTACCTCCCCTTTGCACTTAGTAGCCAATGAAGCATATGCTCTGGTGGCTTGATCCTGGTCCAAACTGGCAGATAATTTTCTATTGGGGCCATAATGCACCAGCCAGGGTCATACACAGACCCTCATCTAGCACTCTGGCCACTAGGTTTGGAATCTTCACTTGCTGCTCCACAAGGAATGTGGGGGTGAAGAAATTCTATATAACCTCTTCCCCATTAGTGCACATAGGAGTCAATCCCCAAGGTCCTCAACAATCCAGCCCTGATCCAGCAAATCACTTAAGCACAGGCTTAACTTTAAGTATATGAGTAGCTCCATTAATTTAAATGGCACACATGTAACAGAAGACAGAATTTTGCCCTGTTTTATTCCACTTAATGAGCTTACAACTGATCAACAAAAACTAATAACAAAGGGGATAATTGTAAGTACCATAGTTTTTACCCATATCGTTGAAGCTTAGAAAATAGCTACCTTTGGGGCAGGGGAGGAATTTCCACAGGATTTAAGGGAAACTACCAAAATACTGTAAAATATGTAAATAGACAAAAAGTACCCTTCCACCTATGATTTCTCTGTTGAACTAAAGAAAATTTTAAAAGCACAGCTGAAAACCATAGGAACCACAAGTTTTGTTCCAGAAAGAAGAGCTGTGAAAATAACTGATTTTTCAATTCACTAGCCAATGAAAAAACAACAACCAAACACAAAATTAATTTAGGGTTGATCCAAAACAAAATTATTTTAATTTTTCAGAGAACTGAAAAAGTTGAAAAATATTGGTTCAAGCAAAATACTTAATATCTTTTTCAGGTCTGGGGGTATTTTTAACCTTTTTTGGTCTGAAAATTTTTGGCCAGCTCTAATCTCAAATTGTAGTGCCCTTCCTGCACTCTTATCGTCATTATACAGGTTCCAAACAGAAACTTCTCAAAGTCACTAATTCTTAGGAGAATCAAATAATATCTATCAGTTTACCCTTAGGTCCTGGATCCCATAGCCTTTCTTCAGCATGATCTGGAACATGTCAAGGGAGCTGATGTATGCTGCCAGCCTAGATAAGCTTTGTTTTCCACTACCGCCTACTCCAATAAGAAGTGCATAACCCCGAGGGGCTTCCAAGATACGACTAATGCGGCATCTGATGATGGAAAAATGAATACAATATAGAATACAAGGATCATATTAATTCAGTTTCTAATTTCCCTGGATATGTAATGTAAGGCTGTAACTATTTTTGTGTTAGGGTGCTCCTGACCTCCATATACATGCTATCATCATTTCATTTTTCTATTGCCAACTTTCTCCAATATTTGGAAATCTTGATAGATAGATGAGATTAATCTTCCTTGCCCAAATAGCATAGATGCAGCACCATTCCTCCACCGGAGTTCACTGGATGTACAACCTTTAAGGTGACTTCTTGTTCAGCAACATTTTAAAGGCCTAATCAATGCCTACTGAAGTAAAAAGACTTTCATTTAACTTCAACGGGCATAGATCAGGCATTTAAGAGCACATCAGGCATTTAGTACTAGGCGATCTGGACCACCAAGACAAAGGGATTACTGTAACTCCCCACTTAACGTCCTTTCGCTTAACTTTGTTTCAATCTTACGTCCCTGCTCCATTACCGGACATGTTTATATAAAGTTGTGCAATGCTCCCCATAATGTTGTTTGGCCACCTGCTTTTTGCATGCTGGCAGCCCCCTTATGCGCCTCCCCCCCCCCGCGCCTGCTGGCGGACCCCACAGATTAGTGCCTTCCTCCTGCTCCCCCCGCCTCCTGCCTGCAGCACTCAGCTCATTTGTGGTGTTCAGGAGGCAGAGGGGAGGCTGCACGCCACGTCCTTGCTCCTCCCCCCAGCCTCCTGAATGCCGCAAGACAGCTGATTGCTGCGGGCAGGAGGCGGGGGGGAGCAGGGGGAAGGTACTGATCCACGGGGTCTGCCGGTGGGTGGTGCTGGGGGGAGGGGAGCATAGGGGAGCTGATGGGGGGGGGTGACAGCCTGTTTAATACCTGTATTAAATTGCTTGTTTAAAATGTATATAATGCCTTTTGTCTGGCAAAAAAAGTTTCCCTGGAACCTAGCCTACCCCCCCCCCCCATTTACATTAATTCTTATGGGGAAATTGGAGTTGCTCAACATTGTTTCGCTTAAAGTTGCATTTTTCAGGAACATAACTTCAACATTAAGTGAAGAGTCACTGTAACTAAATTTTGCTATAGAATCACTTCATGAAGACATGTTTGAAGATCAGCCTTCAATTTACACCTGGCATTTTTTGCTTAGAGTTTAAAGAAAGAACTTGACTAGTCACCAAACATCCTAAGCCAAAGTGATATTAAACCACAGATCAAATTCTCAGCTGAAGTCAACGGAGCTGTGCAAGTTTACACCAGATGAGAATTTGGCTCAGAATAACCACGATTTAGTTTCATGAGGATCTGTTGGAAGTATTTTGATCAGTGCTTCTAAGAGTTAAAGAGAAAACAGACATGTTATAAATAACAGTCTAGGCTGAGCTAGTAAAAAAAAAGGACAAAAAATTCATTATTTAAAAAAATCGTGAAAATTGTCTTTTGAAATGTCAAGATTTCAGTCATCTAATTATAGGGTTATTTCTGTTCAATATCACCATAACAGAGGTGTTTTAAGACACCTTGACCTTTTGCCTCACTGAGAATCCTAGACATGGTGTGATAATTTAGACATTGTCATCACACCGGATCTTATCCCATTCCAGAAATCATTCCTGACATCTATTCTTGAGTGGAATCTTTTGAATTAAGCAGTAGAAGGGGATCTGTGTCTAATAGGGATACCTACAGAAAGGAGAACAGCAAACCTGTTAAACCAAGACTGATACGTTGAGCTCATGGGCAAAGCTATCCTTGTCAAGCCTCTACATTGATTGGATAATTGATTCGTAAGAGTAATAACAATAGGGAGGAAAGTTTTAGGGGATTTAGTTCCAAATGTACCTTTCAGGGGCTGCTGCTCTTGAGGTTCCCGAAGAAGCTCCAATACTTTGCCTGACACGCAGGGACGCTATTTGCTGTCTCTAGACTTTATCCGTGAGAAGTTAATGGGCTACCAACATTTCAAGAGAAGCCTTCGGCATTCTGATAATCACTTAAATCTCCCAATCACGAGAACTAAATCTACAGCCCTCAAGAAAAAAATCCATAGGATTATTTTTCTAATTTAAATTTCTGCTTGGGCAGAGATTTCCATTTTAGAAGTTTTGTCTCCACAAACAATAGGAACTGCATTAGTAAAACTAAGCTTTGTCAGCAGGGATCACTATAACTCCCTGAGAATCATAGCGTTGCACATTAATTGCGAGACTGGGTATATTAGACAGAATTTAAATGGTGAAAAGTAGAAGCAATTTGAGTTTGTGAGCCACTGACTGCACAGAATCCTTTCATTGGCTCCTGAAAACAGAAACACTGCTGCCTCCGTTGCCAGTAAACATAACTGCTGCAGTTTAACTTGGATTTCAGAAACTGCACTGCAATTTTTTTGCCATGCTGGATTCCAATATACAGTCCCATACAAAAAAACAACAACAAGATGGATATAGAGTACATATTAGTAACCTAAGGGTAAAACATATTACAGGTTGTTGTAAGTATTACAAACCAAGGAAATTCAGAGTTCAGATTCTGCTGACAAGAAATCTAGACAGGTTGAGGTATGGAAATGTGCAGTTAAGGCTCCCAAAAAAACCCTAAGCTCTGCCCTGTAGTGACACCATACCATAATCATAGGATTTTAATATTTGTGGTACCAGATTAGATTAGCCTGATTTTTAGAGACTATTGATGTTTTTCATATTTCCACCCTCTCTTCCTTAAATAAAAGGCTGACACATACTAAATTTCTCAAAGAACCCATTTTTAAAATTATTTCAATGAATAAATTAATGGGTTTACTTGTACAGAATGATTTTTCTGAGAAATTACTTAAAGGGTAAAACAAAGAGGTTGAATCTCTGCTTTACAGGTAAACTGGAACTCAACCTTAATTAGAGTCTTGACCTGCATTTCCCTAATGGTATCAGTGATGTTCTCTTACCCTGAACACTGCTGGATGGTCTTCTCAATATAATCGTTTTATTAAAAATGCTGCTAACCTATAGTGTAAGTGCTTCTACTTACCAAAAGAGGCACTTACCCAATAGTTCTCTGAGAGCAGTATCTCCTCTAAACCTGACTGTATGGGCTTTGCATAAATAAGTCTTTAAATGGGGCTTTTTCAAAAAGTCTACTTACACATGCTGCATGGCATCCTCAAATAAAACTAAGTTCATAGAAGCATTAAGCTCATTGTAGCTTTCTAGCGTCTCTGTAAGTATCTTCCTCAGTATTTTCCATTCCTTGACAGGCATGTAGCGAGGGTCGGCTACCCCATTTGCAAAATGGCAATAAATGAGCGGGTGCTGGAGCAGAATGTGATCTTCCACACCCTAGCAAGTGGGGAGGAAAAAAAAATGTCCAAAAACATAGGAAATGTCGTACATTTAATGGCTGGTCCAACCGTTCAGCAAAAGCCCACAATACTGCCAAATAGATAGAGAGTTTGCTGGAAAGCTTCAACTTGAAGTTGATCAAAATTTTTTATTTGAAACCTTTTTTCTGAAAATAATTCACCTTTCTTAATTTTTTTTGCAGAAAATTTTCACGTTTTTCTAAATTTTCCAATTTTTCAACAATAAAATAAATGAAACCCTCCAAGCCCCAAAAAGGTTTCCAATTTTTAGTTGTCCCCCCAAAAAAACTACCTGTTTTTCTTCTTCTCACTTCTTTTTCAGTGGCAAAATGTCAAGGAGGAAAAGCGCGTGTGTGTTTGCGCGTGCGTGTGTGGACCCAAAGTGTCAAAAATGAAAAATGGGTTTATTTGTTTGAAATTTGGGGGGAGGGGGGAGTTGGGGTATTTTTGGTAAAAAATTTCAAGAAAAAACTCTTTCCCTCCCATGAAATACACATGCATTTTTTGACAAGCTCTATTTCAGATAGTCCCACAGCCTTGTCTGATAAAGAATGGATATATTTCAGAGTAACAAATGTTTTTGAAGAACCACAGCACTATATAGTTAATTCACACTTTGGTATAGGCACCAATATACCCATTTATTCAGAAAAAAACTACAGGCTTTAATATCCAGCTATCGTATCTTGCTGACATTTTGCTGCATTCCCAGAGGAATGTTATGCCATGCCTGATATAAAGGACAGCATCAGATACACATTTTGTTTGTTGTACGTGCCATGTTAGACAGGGGGAAAAGTTGTAGAAAAGTTGAATGAAAGTGTTGTTAAATGAAAACAAAATAAAGTAAGAGGAAAAAGAATATTCCTTGTAACTGCATTGTAAATCAGGCAAGAATTTAGCCCAGAAAATCTAATCTGAAACCATAACCTGTATTTATTTGCAAACCTTGTTTACTGTGTATCTAATTATTGTTTATTTTCTGTAAGATTGGCTTATATTTATGGTATTTGCAAATGCCCAGATGACAAAACTATATGTTGTTATAACTAAGTGATCTGATACCCAAATAAATGCCGCAATTAAAAACTAAGTAATAAAGATCATTTTGTTTTGCACTAAATAGTTGCATACGTTTTGTTAATCAGTCAAACTATTGGAGGAAAACTCTAATGCAAAATAAAAAATTAGTCTCACAAGGAAAAAGCTACAAAAGGTATTAAATAAATATATTTTTATCACAGTTATGATAAAAAAACAGATCAAATAAACACCATCTTGTTACCTCAAATACACTCAACTACATGAAGATTCATGTCAGTGAGAAGGTCATTGCCTCCATTTTAAGGACAGCCTCAAGTGTTTGCTTAAAGTTGCTAACAGTGAAAATCCTCACAGCTAATCACACTTGAGTGGACAACTATAGTCAAGAAGAAAATTATTACCATCTTTGCAGAGACCAGAATTAATGATATCAGACTGAAAAAGTCTTACTTATTATGGGCATTAGAAAGCTAGTACCCACTACCACATCAATCAGGTGCTTACTTTTCTTCGACAGAAACCCTGCTAGCAGATGACGTTAAAGGGAGTATGTTGAATCAGCACATTCACTGGCTGCAATTTCTTGTGCTACAGTATGGTACTTTTGTGGTGATTTATAGTTGCAGTAAACTTGACATATCCTGAGCAACTTTAATTTAATCAACATTGCAGAATAAGATATTTCCAGTCTATGGCCTTACCTCAAAATACTTGTGTGCAGTGTCTATCAGCTTTTTATGAAAGAAATGACAGTCTTTTGGTTCTACCAGTTTATCTCCATAAACACGTGAAGACTCATGAAGCCAAAGACGAACAAGATCGGTTGGTTGCCTTAAACACTCAGGTGTAGCAAATAAAATTCCCTAAAAACAATACAATACAGCCACATTTTAAAAAATTCTGTCACTCAGCAGCAAAAGTAGCCGAACTCTAGAATTCCAGTCACCTTCTGCTCCTTTAGTTCCTAAAATATGAGTCACCTAATTTCCCTAAACTGCCCTACCATGCTCATTACATTTTCTTTTTCTCAGAACTTGATTGTACTAATTGATATATATAATTTGTCTTTTGGACTGTAAATTCTTGAATCTGCATTCAAGTCCCTTTGCAGATTAGCAAGTGTTACGGTTTATCAACTCTGTGAAAAAATTGAATCCATCATCAAACAAACATTCAGTAGAACCTCACTAGTCTGCACTGAAGAGAAGGCCATCAAGTGTGGATCAGTGAGGTGTGAACACTTGGTGCATGGCAGGATGGAGAGGACAACTAGGAGCCGGTTATAAATAGCCCTGTTTCAAGGCATTATTGAGGAAAATCTGAAAGGGGTTGTCTTGGCCAGGAAGAAAGACTATTTAGAATGTGTTAGTTGGTTGAGTTGAAGCCATAAATTAATTAATCCAAGCCGAAGGCTTCAACTCAACTAGTTAGCATGCACTAAAGTATGACTTGCCTCGTATACACTATTTTAGAGTGCTAGCTAACTATTCTAAAAATGACAGGTTTCAGAGGAACAGCCGTGTTAGTCTGTATTCGCAAAAAGAAAAGGAGTACTTGTGGCACCTTAGAGACTAACCAATTTATTTGAGCATGAGCTTTCGTGAGCTACAGCTCACTTCATCAGATGTATACCGTGGAAACTGCCACAGGTATACATCTGATGAAGTGAGCTGTAGCTCACGAAAGCTCATGCTCAAATAAATTGGTTAGTCTCTAAGGTGCCACAAGTACTCCTTTTCTTTATTCTAAAAATAACACCTTTTTATCATAGTCAAGACAAACCCAAGATGACACAGCACTCCCTTTTAAGTCTGTGTGGAGTTGTGATGGGGCACTCACCTCAGGAGGGCCTCCTAGCAACTGGGTGTGGTATTGCAGGACTTTCCTGCCCCTGTCACGCTCTGTAAGTTGTTGACCTAGCTTGGTAGGCCTTCAGTGGCTCAGTCCTCTGGCCAAATCACATAGTCAGGATGAACCCCTTCCGGGGTAGCAAAGAGTTCAACATGCTGTCAGCCCTCACCAGGGTCTTCAGCCCCATCTCTAGGCCCTTTTTATCCAGTCCTTTGGTTGGGCTTTTAAAGGAGCCTTGCCCTCTTCTTGGGGCTTAGGCCACTTTGCCAGCGACTGGCGGGGTGGGCGGGAGGAGGTGACCCAGGCCCATCTTCTACTCTGGGTCCCGGCCCAGGGATCCTGCGTACAGCAACCATGTACTGCTTCCTTCACTTCACTGCTGCTGTTCGCCAGGCCTTTTCCCATGTAGCCCCTCTCTCCCTTCACCCACACCTCAGGGCTGAAGTTCTCAAATTCTCTTCCTCCTTGCTCAATGCAAGTACCACCAGAACAGATCTTCTGGTTCTCCCTCGAGTGCCTGTGACCAGCACAGAGCACCTTTCCCTGCTCCTCTGGCCCCAGCCAGGAACTGACCTGCTCAGACCATGCAGCTCCTTTTATCTGAGCCTGCTGGGTCCTGATTGGCAGCTCCTTCCTGGGGTGGGGTGTTGTAAGACCAGGGGGCTTCCAGCAGGCGGCCAACAAAGGCCTGGTACAGTCCATCATTGGAACATATCACAAGTGTTGGACCTGCCTCAGCACAGCAACAGAATCTCACTAGTCTGCGAGCTGGAAGCCCGGCCTACACCAAAAACTAAGGCCGACCTAGGGATGCTCAGGATGAGAAAAAGAATGATGCTCCTGAGAGAGAAAGTTAAACTGACCTCAGCCCTAGTGTAGGCACCACTAGGTTAAATGGAAGAATTTGTCCATTGACCTAGCTGCCGCCTTTAATGGGGGTGGATTTACTACAGCGATGGTGGCAGGTGTCTGTACTACAACGACATAGCTGCAGCATCACGGCTGTGCCACTGTAGTGCTTGTGGTGTAGGCATCCCCTTAGTATTTCAGTGAACTGCAAATACAAAAATCCATTTTCAGTGTGCATTTGAAGTTTACAGAAGTGTGGGTTAGTGACGGTCCCCTTAATATTTCCATCACTACTCACCTCTTTCCTGCCTTCTATTTAATTTTTCAGAATTCCAGTCTTGAGCACCTCACATGAGAATTATTCTCTCATGAAATGGTCTATGTGAATTATTACAGGAGTTTGCAAGTTTTCTGATTCACTAAAGAGAATTATTTACACCAGTATACCAAGACTTAAGGTTTTCCTTGTTACCTTAAATGTTAATTCTCATTCCAATAGGTAAATCATAGCCTGTGGTTTTGGAAGTTACAATTAGTGCTACAGTCTCAAAATGCTAGGTCCTAAAATTCTCCTTCTGTATTTGTACAAGGATGAAAGCCCATATATTACGTCAGACTAGAAAGCACATATTAATGGGAAAATGTATTCAATACAAAAAAACTAACTACTTTCTATTTGAGAAAGATTTTGATGACATATGCACAAAACACTCGGAATTAGCATCCTTACAAAAGTGCGTGTATTGTGGGGACTGGTACCCTCTCCTTTCTGAGGGACCAGACCCATGCAGAAACCCCTCCCCCCTAAGAGGGAAACCCTTCCCCCCTAAACATGGGTTGGTTAACAGAATATTCCAGGGAGGAGCATCACTTCCCTCCTGCAACCCATCCCACAAAAAACTCTCAAGCTAGCAGGAGCTAACACAGAATCCAGTTTTTGCTCTGGACTCCCATGCACTGTTTGAGGCTAAGGAATGGAGAAAACAGCCAATCTCTTTACCTCAGCCTCAGTCCTCCACCCTTCTTTGCTTCCCCACCTTCTAACCTTTATGTCCCCTCTCCCTTTGTCTTTTCGTTTAGACATTTCCCTCCCAGCAAAACCTCACCACCACCCCCAAAATCATAGACTTAACATGATGTTTGCAAACCATCACTCTGAGCATTACATCCCTTTGTCCTGCTGTCTGTTTTGTCTATTTAGACTGTAAACTCTTCAAGGCAGGGACTACCTGTTACTATTGGGACAGTGGCTAGCACAACGGGGCCTTACTCTTGGTTGATCCTAGGCACTGTATAATAAACAAACAAACAAACAAACAAACAAACAATAATAATAATAATAATAATGCGTTATGCTTAGAGTGAAAGTCAGTCTATGACACAGACCTGGAAGATGTTTGAGAGGTCTCTTAGGTTAAAGATGTAGTGGAATTTAACCGCGGTTGGTAGAAAGTTCTGAACCATAGTTTGATGAAGCCATATTGCTCCTTGAATCATGGCTGGAGCATTCTTTAACACTGATGGATTAAAAACATGCCTCTGGAAGTGGAAACCAAGGATCTTGCTATAGATGGTGTTCAGGGCATCAGCAGATGGGAAGTTCAGAGCAAACACTGTGAAATGTCTCTGAAAATAAGAAACAAAATAAGATTTTTATTATTCTGAGAGAAGGCAGAAGTGAAGTCAAGTCAATGACCACCTGATAATTCCAACAGACTGAGGCAAAGAGGCTGACTGCTGTGTGCCATTCAGGGTATGTCTACACTGCAGCTGGGAACAAGCCTCCCAGTCTCGGTAGACAGACTCGCTTTAGCAAGGAACGAGCTAGCGCACTAAAAATAGCAGTATGGACGTCGCGACTTGGGCTGCAGCTCAGGCTCTCAAGCCTAGGGGTTGGTTGGGCTTGAGAGCCTAAGCTGCGGCCTCAGCCGCAACATCCTCACTGCTACTTTTACTCTGCTAGCTCAAGTCTACCTAGGCAGGCTGGGCGGCTCACTCCCCGATGTAGCGTACACCCACCCTCAGAGGGACGACAAGGGAGCTGGTCGTGGTACTCTGCTTCTGAGACTACCTGTAAGTTGGCCCCAGCCATGATGCTCTTGTACAGCAGTCCCCAACGGCGGTCTAACTAGGACTGGCCATCTGCCAGCCAGGGAGAGCTGTGTACTCCAGTCACGGCCCATTCCCACCCCCTGTGCCAGGGACTGCAGTAGATTGGGGCTGTTATAACCCTCCCTAACCCATGGGGGTTCTGGCTACTTTACACTCCCTTTGTGCTACACGAGCAGCAGACCAGAGAACATGGCCCAGGAGTTTGTAAATTTACCTTATAGGAGCTGGAGCTCTTTGTGACACGTGGTATCTATGAGTATTCATGGCAAGTGTGCACACCCTCTGAGAGCCTGAAACCAGAAACTCTTCAACAGCAGTGTCTTTTAGTCCTTGCCTGTGCTCCCTGTTCCTCGTGCTCCAAACCAAGAGCAAATGGGGTAGGCCGGTGCAGATCAACTGCCTTTCCAGTTCCTACTCTACCATACATAACCCTAGTATAAGGATCCAAAGCAAAGGGGAAGGAGGGCAGGTTGTGAATATCCATGGGGACCACACATCTCAAAGAACTCCCGTTAGTTTAAAGTAAGTAACTTTCCTTTCTTTTTCAAGAGCTGGTCCCTATAAGTATTCACTGTGGGTGTCTCCCAAGCAATGCCTATTGAGGAGGAGGAGAGGAGGTGCTCTGCACCACTGTTCACAGGATCACTGAACCCAAGGAAGCATCTTAAACCAAGCTTGAACCAGGGCATAATGTCTAGCCATCATATGAACGGAATCCCATGTTGCTGCTTGACAGATCTCCAAGAATTGAATTCCTTGTATGGAAGCCACAGGGGCAGCTGGATCTCTGAGCGAATGAGCCCTGACATACTGAGGAGGGGTTTCATAGCCGTTCATAGCCGACAAGGATGCAGTTGGAAACCCATTTCAAGAGTCTTTCGGAAGAGAGATTGCCAACTGCAGGATCGTAGTGAACTCAGAACTACCTTGGCCACTAGGGATATCAGGATTACTGCTGCCTTGTTCTGCTTGTGCTTTCAGAGGATGCAAGGAAGCAGGGGGATGGAAAGCAAGGCATACGTCAATGAGTATATCAGGAAGTTCGACCACTCTACTAGAAGGCATCTCTATTGGAACTGGACCTCTAGGCATCTGAAAAGCAGTAATCTCAGTATTTCCAGTTGCTCTGGGTTGCAAAGAGATCCCAGGATGGAAATCCCCACCGCTGAAAATCTGCTGGATCACCAAAGAGTGGAGTTCCCACATATGGTTCTTGAAGGGACTGTCTGCAGAGACTGCCTGTTACGGAGTTCTCTACTCTTGGTAGGCAGACTGCAGAGAGGGTGGATACCCCAGTTTCAGGGCTTGATTGCATCTCTGCAGAGTGAGGAGGATCTTGCTCCCCATTATTTGTTTATATAACAAAGAGAGGTCATATTGTCTGACCTGACCCAGACATCAGAGGACCTGATGAAGGGTAGGGATCTCTTGCACAGTTCAGGTATTACCTGAAGCTCAAGAAGGTGGTTGTGCAGCGTGGACTCTCATGGAGTCCAGGAGCCCTGAGCTGTGCGGTCACCCCGGTGCACTCCCCTTGCCAGCAGGGAGACATCTGCCATGAGAGTCTTTGTAGGTGGAGCGGGAACAAAGGGATCCCCTACATGTTGGGTCGCCCTCAAAGTTATATAAATATGATAGAATAATAATTATGTAGTAGTAGAAATAAAGACAGACAAAAGAGTATATAGGTATTGTAAAAAGGTATGAACATCAGTTCCATGCTGTTGAATTTCACTCTGTAACAAATGCAAGGCCAAAATGCTAATTATTTCAGGTCGGTACAGGACAAAGAGTCTGTGCTGGAAAGTGATAAGAACTTTGAGGAAACAATGCTGTTCTTTAAAACAACACCCTGATGGTCTTCCCCCACGGGGGCCCCTTGTCATGCCTATGTAGCTGAGAGGCTGAAGGAGAGCACTCTGGGCCCACTGTAAAGCACAGCAATCTCCTGTGTGCTGGATAGTGTCTACATGAAAATACACATCCTTTAAACAGAGGGCCTCAAACCAGCCACCTTCATTATAGCAGCCAGGACAGACATTCAGCTGTCTGAGGTTCAGGATGGGTCTCTGGCCCTCATTCTTTTTGGGGATTAGGAAGTATTTGGAGTAAAAGCACTTCCCCCATGTTGGGAGGGTATAGGCTTTATACCCCTAGCTGGATTAGGGCAGCCACCTCCTGTTTGAGTATCCTCTAATGAGAGTGGTCCTTGAAGAGGGGTTTTGGAGAAGCGGTAAATAGGAATCTGATTGTGTAGCCAGCTGGCATGATATTTAAGACTCATTTTTCCAATGTGATGCAGTGCTACATCAGAAGAAAATGGGCCAGGGAGCCACCGAAGGAGGTTGAAAGGACTGGTTGTGCATGGACTGGTTGATGGCTCTGAAGCATCTCATCAAAATGTCTTCTTGGTAGGCAGCTGGGTCTGAAAAGAGGATGCTCGTGGGGCAGTGTGTTTGGTGTGCTGTATCCTGTAGTATTTCCTTATGGACTCAAAGGCCCTCTGAGGATAGAAGGGCTGAAGGGCCAGTAGGTACTATGAGATGGCAGCACACGATGGTGGCACAAGAGTCCTTAAAAGAATGAAGTTACTCATCAGTATTTTCACTAAATAGGTTGTTACCCTGAAAAGGGACATCTTCAACTGTCCCCTGGGCCTTCTGTCCCCAGGGACTAGAAACAGAGGCCCTCCTCCTAGCTATAGAGGCTGCAATGCTGCCGCATCAAGCGATGCTTGGATGGATGATCTTGCAACCAGTTTATCTTCACCCAGGATGGCCTGGAATTGGAGCCTGCATTGTTGCAGTATTTTACTGGTGAACTCTGTTTGTTGTAATATATGACATCGGTGCCTGGTAGTTTGCAATATGGAAGAGTAGGCTGGCTGATGAGATGTTCTTTCCACTGAAGAGATCTTGTCTTCTGACAGCCTTGTCCAAGAGAGTGGACCTGGGCTGGTGCAGCCTGTTCTGCAAATGCCTGGACCATGACAGAGTTCAGGTTAGGGTGGAACAACAAAAATTCCACTCCCTTGGAGGGCACAAGTACTTCTCTACAGTTTTGGGGGTCACAGCACAGGTGGCTGGTGTGTGCTAAATAGCTTTAGCAGGATCCATTGTGGCCTCATTGATCGGGAACACCACCTTGGAAGGAGCTGCAGAGTGGAGAATGTTCAGAAGTTTAAGGGTGAGATGCTGAATCTCTTCCAGTGGGATCTCAAGGGTGTCCATGATCCTCCTCCAGAGGTCCTGGTATTGTCTATAATCCTCCAGGGGTGAAGGAGAGGCTGGTGCCACCACCGCAACTGGAGATGAAGACAATGCTGTCAGTGGATCCAGTGCTACCAGTGCAACGTGCACCGATGCAGACTAAGAGCCCGGCAAGAGCCCAACCCTTGTAGGCGATCTCTATGGAAATCAGGATATGAAATCTCACTTGGTGCTGGGGAGAGGTAGAGGAGAGGTAATCCTCTTCTTAGAGGACTTGTGCATGATTTCTCTCTTTTTATGAAAAAAGAAAAGGAGTACTTGTGGCACCTTAGAGACTAACCCATTTATTTGAGCATGAGCTTTCGTGAGCTACAGAAGTGAGCTGTAGCTCACGAAAGCTTATGCTCAAATAAATGGGTTAGTCTCTAAGGTGCCACAAGTCCTCCTTTTCTTTTTGCGAATACAGACTAACACGGCTGCTACTCTGAAACCTCTCTTTTTATGACTATTCCTCCTTACTCTCCCTCATATCTCTGTTCAGAGGAGTCCTTAGGTTTACTGGAAGATTCCAAGCTGGGAAGTGTCGGTGCTGGAGGGGCACTAGCTAGAGCAGGGGCAGGAACACTTTTTGGCTTGAGGGCCACATTGGGTTTCTGAAATTGTATGGAGGGCTGGTTAGAGGAGGCTGTGCCTCCCCAAACAGCCAGGCATGGCCCAGCCCTGCCCCCTATCCGACCCCCCCTGCTTCTTACCCCTGATGGCGCCCCCGGGACTCCTGCCCCATCCAAACCCCCTGTTCCCTGTCCCGACAGCCCCCCCCCGAGACCCCCACCCCATCCACCCCTCCCTGTCCCCTGACTGCCCCTGGACCTCCTGCCCCTGACTGTCCCCCACCGCCCCATCCAACCCCTCCTCTCATTCCCGACTGCCCCCCCGGGACCCCTGCCCCCATTCAAACCCCCTGTTCCCCGCCCTCTGACCGTCCCGCCCCCTATCCACACCCCTGCCCCCTGACCACCACCCCGAACTCCCCTGCCCTCTATCCAACCACTCCCTGTCCTCTTACCGCACCGCCTGGAGCACTGGCAGCACTAAAGCCAAGCCGCCCAGAGCACCAGGACAGGCAGCCATGCCGCCCGGCTGGAGCCAGCCACCCCACTGCGCAGCACAGAGCAGCGGGTCAGGCTGGGCTCTGCAGCTGCGCTGCCCGGCAAGAGCTTGCAGCCCCGCGGCCTAGAGCGTTGCACCGGCAGTGCAGTGAGCGGAGGCTGCGGGGGGGAGGGGGAACAGCCGGGGAGGGGCTGGAACTAGCCTCCTGGGCCAGGAGCTCAGGGGTCGGACAGGAGGGTACCGTGGGCCCGATGTGGCCTGTAGTTTGCCCACCTCTGATCTAGAGGTTCATATTGATGAGATGGGGGTGGGAGCAGATCCAAAATGGGTCTCATGGAGAGGTCCATTAAATCTGAACTCCCATGATAGGGAAAGGAGAGGGAGATATCACACTTCGAAGGAATGTGTGATTCAGGGCTGGTCTTCACTACAGGGAGATAGACACTGCTGCAAATCAGATTTAGTGAAGACCCAATAAATCAATGGCAGAGCGCTCTCCGGTCGACCCCAGGACTCCACCTCTCTGAGAAGAGTAAGGGAAGTTAACCGGAGAGCATCTCCCATCGATGCAGGGCAGTGAAGACACCGGGATAAGTCGACCTAAGTTACCTCGACGCCAGCAACGTTATTCACATAGCTGGAGTGGCATAACTTACCCTGGTAGTGAAGACAAGCCCTCAGATGCAGTTCAGGCAGCTCTTGCGCTGGTCACTCATCAGGAAGTTCTGAGGGCAGGCCAGGCAGGGTTTGAGGCCTGGTGTCCTGGGCATACAAAGTGCTCTGATACACGGGGGAACAAAGGGAACAGTAAACCTGATCCCCAAATTATCTGACTAAACTAATAGCAACTGTCATAAAGGGAAGGGTAATCACCTTTAAAATCCCTCCTGGCCAGAGGAAAAATCCTTTCACCTGTAAAGGGTTAAGAAGCTAAAGGTAACCTCGCTGGCACCTGACCAAAATGACCAATGAGGAGACAAGATACTTTCAAAAGCTGGGAGGAGGGAAAAAAACAAAGGGTCTGTGTGATGCTTTTGCCGGGGACAGAACAGGAATGGAGTCTTAGAACTCAGTAAGTAATCTAGCTAGGTATGTGTTAGATTATGATTTCTTTAAATGGCTGAGAAAATAGCTGTGCTGAATAGAATGAATATTCCTGTCTGTGCGTCTTTTTTGTAACTTAAGGTTTTGCCTAGAGGGATTCTCTATGTTTTGAATCTAATTACCCTGTAAGGTATTTACCATCCTGATTTTACAGAAGTGATTCTTTTTTACTTCTATTAAAAGTCTTCTTGTAAGAAAGCTGAATGCTTTTTCATTGTTCTTAAGATCCAAGGGTTTGGGTCTGTTGTCACCTATGCAAATTGGTGAGGATTTTTACCAAACCTTCCCCAGGAAGTGGGGTGCAAGGGTTGGGAAGATTTTGCGGGGAAAGACGTTTCCGAACAACGTTTTCTCAGGAACCCAGATAAAGTTTGGTGGTGGCAGTGGAAGTCCAAGAGCAAAGGGTAAAATAGTTTGTACCTTGGGGAAGTTTTAACTTAAGCTAGTAAAAGTAAGCTTAGGAGGTTTTCACGCAGGTCCCCACATCTGTACCCTAGAGTTCAGAGTGGGGAAGGAACCTTGACAGCAACTATTTAAAATTTATTTATAGAGTCGATGTCAGTAAGGAACATTAGAAGGCTACAGACACAGAAAGCTTCCCTCCCAGACAGAGAGCAATAAAAAGGAACGAGAGAGAGGTGGTCAGTCTGGACTGCTTCTTATGGCCTTGCTTTGGAGCATGAGGCAAAGGTGAAAGCAAAGACCAGCAGATACTGCTGTTGAAGAGTTTCAGACACACAGAGCATATGCGCACACACAGGGAATACCCATATGGACCAGCAATCTATACACTTTGATAAAATCTGCTGGTTGGGAGCACAGAGCTACTATTGGTATCACTGGAAGTTCAAGGCGAGAAGAGAGACTGACCATATTCAAATTAGTGTTTATGTCTGTTGCAATGAAAAGCTAAAATTCTAAATGTTATATCTAACATATTAAATAATAAATATAGGGTTACTAAGATATAGCACTTGAAACCGTACCTGGAGTCGAGGGTTGATAGTGAAACTGCCAGCAGTTGGATTCATACAAGCAACATATTGGCAATTATGTATTTCTTTTACCGTTAACTTCTGCCTATCATACCTAGAAGATGGAAAATATAAAAACTTTAGTTTAAAATGATTGATAATTACTGTCATAGCATCATAGGTAGCATATGGCTTAGTGCTAGTTGGAAGATGGAAATTCTAACATTTCAAAATTTGTTTTCGTCCTGACTCAGGATGAAAAGAGAAATTCCGAAAAAAATTAATTTGAAAACAAAATGACTTTAACAAAATGTTTCATTTAGATAATGTTGAAACAATCTTTATCTATATATAGTAGAAACAAAATAAGAACGTCATAGAATTATAGAAATAGATGGCATGTAAGGGACCTCGAGATGTCATCAAGCCCTTGCACTCTGACAGGGCCAAGTAAACCTAGAACAAACATGGCAGGTGTTTGTCCAACTTGTTTTTAAAAGCTTCCAATGATGGGGACTCCACAACCTCCCTTCAAAGTCTATTCCAGAACTTAACTAGCCTTATACTTGGATAGTTTCTCCTAATATCTTCCTTGCTGCAGATAAGCCCATTACTTCTATCTTCAGTAGACTGGAGAACAATTGATCACCATCCACTTTGTAACCGTCCTTAACATATTTGCAGACTTATCAAGTCCCTCCTCAGTCTTCTTTTCTCAGGACCAAACACGCCCAGTTTTTTAATCTTTCCTCATAGGTTTTCTATGCCTTTAGTTTTTTTGTTGCTCTCTTCCGGACTCTTTCCAATTTGTCCACATTTTTCCTAAATTGTGGTGCCAAGAATTGGACGTTGTACTCCAACTGGGGCTTCACCAGCACTAAGTCGAGCAGGAAATTACCTCCTGTGTCTTACATACAAAGTACTTTGTTTTGATTTCGAACGGTTTCAAAATTTCCCCATTGAAAATTTCATCAAAATCAACCTAGTCTCGTGAAACATTCTGATTTTGACAAAACTGCATTTTCCGACAGAAAATTGTTCCATCTAAAATATTTCAATCCGCTCTAGCATGATTCTTTCCAATACAGACAGGTCCCCGCACCCAGTCTAATATGGACAGATATAGTACAGTACAATTAAGGAGGTAGCATGAGTGTGGGAACACAATGGGTATGTCGACACTGCAGCAGAGAGAGAGCCTCCCGGCCCAGGTAGACAGACTTATGGTAATGGGGCTTGTGTGGACATTGCAGCACCAGTGGAGACTCAGGCTAGCCACCACAGCTCGGACCCAGGGAATGGGGGCTCACCCAAGTCTCTGCTGGTGCTGCAACAGCCACACAACTCTAGCCACACACTAGAGCGAGCTCCACTACCATGAGAAGTTTGTCTGCACAGCTGGGAGGCTCACTCCCACCTGCACTGTAGACATAAGACCCTTTGTAGAGTAAAAGTAGCTAAAATTAGCAGGTTTCATCATAGACAGAAAGCCAAAAATATGCTTGGCACGTAGGAAGAAGGAAGTTGTTTCATGTGCAGGGCACTATGAAAACAGGCATTAAGCATATTTGACAGAAAGCAACAAAAGGCAATAGGTGTGATTAGAAGACCACATCTTGGTTTTTGCAGTATGGCCCAATGGACGGGGCATGAGACAAGGAGTCAGGGAACCTGGATTCGATTCCTGGCTCTGCTGTTGGCTCATTGTGTGACCTGGGCAAGTCATTTAGGCCACTTTTTCCAAATTTAACCCAATTTAACATTGGGTAACTTCATTTTTGATAGCTTAAGTTGGAAAACTTAGGGTCTCATTTTTAGAAGTGAATAGCACTCATATTTTTTAAAAAAAAGGCAATAAGAGATGCAGCTGCTCCATGCCTCTTACAATCAGGCACTACATATCTGAAGGCACCCAAAAATTGTTAGGCACCCAAAAACTGAAGCACCCAAAATTAGAGTCTGTTTTGAAAATTTGGGCGCAAATCTCTATGCATCTCACTGGATATAAGTTTTATTATTATATTCAGCATTACAAACAGCACAATATTCAAACATACAATATGTGGTGATAATAGTGTGATACATTACATTTATCTAGTTCCTTTAAACTTTTTGTATACACTCTGCTCATTAATCTATCATCACTGGGATTACAATTAACATTCCAAACCTCTGGCACCTTCCAGCAGCCACCAATTTAAAAGTAATAAAACAAACCAAAACACTTATAAGTTTCTCTACTCAAGAGTAATGCTGCCATTGCAATAAATCCTTTACCTCTTTTATCACACAGTCCTGTATTGTCCTTCTTTCTCATATAAGCCCTGATCTTGCCAGGGTTTACATATATGTCTAACCTTAAGCACAAGTAGTCTCATTTAAGTCAATGTGACTACTCCCATACAAGAAGTTAAGTCCTTTGCTGGACTGAGGACACAGTGCTGACCATTTTGCAGAATCAAGCCCTAAATAAGACAGACAGAGAAATAGAGACAGACAGATGTACACTTATTAGAGTGGGTGCATATAGCATCCCACTACAATTAATGTCGAATATCAACTTCTATTCTAAACCTCCTTATTCAGCTCCTCATTACCACTGTCAAATTTCTTTTGGGCTGAAGTTTTCCATGCTTGGTCTCATGCCAAAAGGGGCATGGGTTGGGTTTTTAAAGTCTGAACAAATTCAGTGCAGTCATTTTGAATTATCTAAGCATTTGAAAAATGTACCTTCTCCATATACTCTGATTAGAACTCAGATAAGTACACTCTGGTTTAGGATTAATTTACCAGGAATAAACGTTCAAAACTTTAAAATTACTAAATCAACTTTCTCCTAACTCAGCTTGTTCTATAGAACTGAAACTTTAAAAAAAAAATGAAGCCAAGTTTAAAGAAGATAGCTTCAGTAGCTTTAAACGTTCATAATATTTAAATCAGAAACAAGGAACATTTTCTAAAAACGTATTTAAAGCTAGGGAAATTTATAACCCGGGGCAGGTGGCTCTAAAAAGTATTAGCTTTCTGAGATGGAGCTGATTGATTCCACTGAATTAGTGATATCTCAGACTTAAATATTCACTTTCCTCTCTGCCTGTTTTTTCCCCTGAATATCTGAAGATATTCAGAAGATATATGTCATTTCTGAGTACATTATATTTCCTACTATGTCCTTTACTGAGTTAAACTGAATCCACTTTAAAAGACTTGGGAATAGCACATATACTAATGCTTCATCCCAGCCCCAGCTCTGATAAGGGTCCTTACAAAGAACACGTAAGGAAAGAGAAGACACACACAGGCCGTCACCTACCTTCCCTGTGCTGTATAGTTCCAGAGGGACATATGTCCCTAACTCCCTAGTAGGGAGAAAGAACAAATAATTTAAAATGTAAATATATGAAAAAAAAGTGACCACACGGTGAAGGAGAAGGAATTGACCCTTTCAATACTGCCAAAATATATATACTTGTGTGTGTGTCCTGGCAATTGCTTTTTAGCGGAATGTTTGCTTGTTCATTCATCAGTTCACTTGCTCCTTCCCCACTCAGGTCAGTCACAATATAGGAAAGCATTCTCTGTGTGTCTCTGATAAGTCAATCAGCAATAAGAACAACTTACTTAAGGTACCCTCTTACACGAAAGAAGTAAAGGGCAAAACTAAGCCTGCCCAGTGGGACAGAAAAAAGGTTTTCTGAAGGAACAGTGAAAGAAGACACTAGTTTTCCCTTTAATTTTGGATTATCCTCATTTTCATTTTTGAAATGGTCTTCTGTAGTTAGACACTCTTGATATCCTGCATTAAGCTGTTCAGGTGAGGGACTATTTGTTGTGTGTTTGTACAGCACCTTGCACAATGGGGTTCTGGACCATGACTGTGGCTCTATCACAATATAATTATTATATTTTTAAAGGCTTGAACACATTTTAGATGTTCCCACCCTCTATTTCTCGAGCTCAGCCTAGAACTTATCAAAGCAGTTTTAATGAATACGGCAGAAAATGGAGAAAAGCAGAAAGTAATGAAGAGTTCACAAGAATTCGACCAAATAAGCTAAAGAACAGAGTGAAATTAGTTTAGGCAGTTAGTTTTTATAGTTACCCAATGGAACTCACACCTGCATGATATAATCAGGGCAAGGGGTATAATAGGATTTTATAAAAAAAATAAATAGATGTTTATATGAACCAAAATATCATCTGCAGTTACACAAGCAAGGATAAACCCTTGAAAATGTTATCAACCCTCATGCTTTAAAGCAAAGTCATTCACTGATGTTCCTGGAGTTAAGAAGCAGCTTCCTCCATAGCCAGCTGTGGCAAAAGGATATTATGAATATCCCTTTGTTCCAAACTCTGCCACTATAACCATCACAATAATAAAACAATTTTCCTGCTCTATGGAAAATATAAAGTAAAACTAAATTAGAAGTCTAAAACTTGTGCTAATTCTTTCTTTGGCATGGGAAGAATGGTTAAAAATTTTAGCCCATATCAATCAAATTTTGATTTAGCATAAAACAAGTAGTAATTGCTTACCAATGTCCATAGTCTATGTGCTGTCGAATCAGTGTGTGAGGTTGAACTGTTCCATACACATCCATTTCAGGCATGTTCATATCATCAATAAAATAAATCAACTTCTTGTTTCCTACAGGACCATAGTTACGGCCAGCTTTTTTCTCTAGGCTTTTCTCAAGAATCTCTAAAATGTTATGGAGTATATGACAAATAGTTATGATACTCAAACAGTGCAGAGACTAACAATCAAAAATGCATAATTAATTCACCCAGGAAAAGATTAAATCACTTAGGGCCAGATTTTTGAAAATCTGTGATGTTTCAAAAACAGTTAGTTGATTTCACAGGGAGTTAGGCACTTAGGCACCTAATGAGATTGTCAAAAGTGCCAGCCTACCTCTTTAGGTACCTTAACTACCTTTAAAAAGCTAGCCATTGGGTCCCAGTCATGTGAAATGCTGTATGTGGGCAGATTCCTGCACCTTTTGGGGAGATCTATTGAAGTCAATGAGGCTCCGCGCAGGTACATCACTTTGTAGGACTACAGCATAAAACAAACCCAAATTTTCTAAGACATCCACAGGAAAGTACATGAAGTTGACAGAACGAACAAACCAACAACTAGCTGTGGTCTTTTTGAAAGGCGTGTTAGAATTGCAGGCTGTTCTCTTAAAAAATTAAAGTGTTCCCTGGTCCTGCTTGCAGGCTATAGGGCTCTGTAGAAAAGCATACATTCAGAGTCAGTCTGGAAAGAGCCAGCTAACCAGCAAGGTAGGATGAGTTGTGCTTCTGTCTTACGGAACACCTGCTTCTCTTCTCTCTGTTTTTGGTTGTGTTTGTTAAAATTCTAGATTCTAAAAATAAAAGTAGTGTTACACTGCAAATGTACTAAAAGGGTATTTTATGTTTTTATCTAACTTCTCTGTCTGTAAGCCATGAACATAAACCAGCAAACTAAGCCAGAGTGTGATAATTTTATTTCATCTTCACAGCATTTATATTTCTTTTGGAGAAGTAGCATCATTAACTTCTGAAGCTTAATGTATGTAAGTGTATTGTGATCATCTGGCTGAGGCACCATAGAACTACAAAATATTATTTTCCCCTTTTACAATTAAGTCTGAAGCCTGTTACAATCAAATATCCAACACAAACCTTCTGCTGCTAAGCCACTGTGTTTTTCCACTGAATGCATCCGATGAAGTGAGCTGTCGCTCACGAAAGCTTATGCTCAAATAAATTGGTTAGTCTCTAAGGTGCCACTAGTACTCCTTTTCTTTTTGTAGTAAAAAAAGAATACAAGCAGGTTAAACCTCTCTGGTGGGTATTCAGACTATGTAATTGATAGGCGAGGGAGATAAAAAAAGAATTATGTACAAACTGGAAAATCTAATCATTCATATACCTGATGTAAGTATAAGCGGCTTTGTAATAAAGGTAATAGAATTACCTTTTAAAATAGAAAAGTTAAATCTTGGATTGTGCAACTCATTTTAAATAAATATACTTGCACAGCAAAATGAGTTGAGAAATCTACAGTAATTCATCTGATTTGAGCAACATTCCCTAAGGAGATAGGGCTAGATTCACAAAAAGGACTAAGGTGCCTAACTGCCACTTTAGGTGCCTAAATCACAGAATCAGGCTTCACTGGGATTCACAAAGCACCCTCCCAGCGGCTCACAAATCTTGAAGGTGTCTAACTCGTTTCTCATGCTTGCCGTCTCTCTGGGCCAATGATTCTTTCATTATTTAACCACATAGGAACAGCTTCACCATTTTGAGGGGGTGAGGGGAGAGAAAAAGAATGACTCTGTAGTCAGGCGGTTAGATCCCATCCCTCATGCTCCAATGATTTTTTAAAATGTTTTTTATCTACAGTGAAACAACTTCAACAGGAGAGTGGGAGGGAATCCAACATCAGAATATCCCCCAGCCCAGTGGCTAGCGCACTCACCTGAGAGGTGGTAGATTTCAGGACAGCATCACAGCCATGGGCGTAAACATTATGAGTAAGCTCCTTCCTCCCCACCTTGGCTTCTCGTCAAAACTGCATAGATGCCTAAAGCCAAGAGAGAGTCTTGGCAGCTGAGAATCCCAAGTGGAGGGAGGCAGTTTGGACTTAGGCACCTGTGTCAGAGGGGGTGGGGCTTAGCACACACCCCTCAGCTTGGCATTTCCCTTAGGCAATTTTAGGCACAGAGACACCTAGCATGCTGGCTTTTGTGAATCCCATTTGAGTTGCCCATCTTTCCTCATTCTTTGTATAGGGAGCCAGGCACCAAACTCAAACTTTGTGAATCCCAATGATTTTCTAGACAAATCCCGGTGATATTCACCAGGCTTAAATTTCTTTGTGAATCTAGTCCATAGTGTCAGTATTGATTAGGAATGGTTCCCCAGGTGCTTTGGAAAGCTATATCCTGAACAGTTCTGGCTTCACACCCTCACATGATAAATGGATCTGGACTATTAAAATCATCTTTTGAATTTTAAAAACGTATTAACGTTGTAATGTATTCATAGAAAATGTGAAATATGTTTATTAATAATTGGAACATATAGCAATGCAATCACTATTGTACTTTAACGTTTCCCAAGATGAATAGCAAATAAACAATGATTATCAACTTTTTCAATGCATATAAGCATGAATGACAAGTTTCATACAAAAGCACTTGAGAAAACTGTCAGGCAAGCACCTTTTTTAATGAAGAACATTAGGCTGATTATATGTACAAATCAGATCATTGCCCATGCAAATGACAAGAATTAGCCATTTTCACAAGTAGTTACTTGATTTATATGTACAGTTATGGTAAAAGTGTGTGCATCACATTTGTTTGAAAATGTGACCCAAAAAGCATATACTTGATCTTTGTGAGTTACTGTTTTTTCACCTGGATTGTAGGGTTAATGAGAGCAAATGAGAATGAATAGGATAACCTACGCTAATTCCTTATTTAATGTGTTGTAGTGTTTCTTCATTTGCATTGGGCTGTGCAAATGAAGGAACAGAGCAGAGAGCAAAATGTAAGGGTTGGCATAGGACTTTTTTTTTTTTTTAAATTCTACCGGGTTTTTAGGATTGCTTGCATACAAGTGGAAATAAACTATATTTGTACAGGAACACATGAATGCAATGTACCTATGTGTGGGTGCTTGATATTACTGTGATTCTGACTTATATTAGTTCATTTCGTTTCTTAAATACCAACAGCCTGAAAAAAATCCCCTCACAAATAAGTCACTTGCTACGGTTTCCATCAGGAGATGGTGCATCCTGGTGTTAGCTCGCTTAGTTTCTTGACACAGGGAAGGAGTGCCTCATGTCTGTCAACAATGACTCTTCTAGCTAATTCAGGTAATGTGGTAACGGGGTCCCAAGGGAATTCCATGTAGTAAGTTCAGCTAGAAGGATGGCTGCTGAGTGTGGAGGAGAGATGTAAACAAATAACAAGTGAGGTTCATTGAAGGATAAGTCAGAGATGCAGAGGAATCTCAGAACCCTTAAAGCTATATAATCATGGGATTGGGAAAAGTCTGCTGTAATTGTGATGCGTCTGGCCTTCTGCTCCAAAACCTCTAAGGCCAAAGCCTGCCTTTTGAAAGAAAAGGTGTGCAAGGGAAAAATTTTAGAATACTTCCCTACTTTATCTTGCCTTTCAGCTGACATTTTTTCAATGTTGCTTAAGGGATTTGGATGCCAAAGTCCCATTAAAATGAGTAGAAACTAGATGTTCCAATTCCCTAGGCAGCTTTGAAAAATATTAATTTCCAGCAACTGTATGGTTTGGGACCATAAATAATTGTTTGCAATAGTAATACAAGACAGCTACATAATAAATTAAAATAAATCACTGCAATTTATTGTATGTGAAAGAACGCAGCTCTAAACAAGACCAGAAATCACACAAGAGGCAGAAATCACACATTCTGGGCTAGATGACAGAATTGAATTCACAGCTGGTTGCAAAAAGGATCACATGCTGTTGAAAAGGAAGGTAAACTTGTTTCCATACCTGTCATGTGATACTCTAATAGCGGAGATTAGCTGCGTGATTGTCCCTTAAATTAATTGTGAGGGGTTACTGGTAGAGCATTTTCAGTAAGGGGCACTTGATTTTAGAACAGCATTGGAGATTGAAGAGCTCTAGATAAGCCATGGAAGTGCTTGTTTATTTTACATTCCTTTTTAAAATTCCTAAAAACAAGACTCATACTTGTTTTTAAATGGTTATTTAAAATCTGAAGGCATTTGCCTAGTTTATAATGAACTTTTACAGGTCCAAATTCCTTTAAGTTTATACAGGACAGGAGTTTTAATTTAATGACAACACCTATTGATGCAGACTAACTGCTGTGGTATTAATGACTGGTTTGGAAACTCAACAAGTAAACACTTGTCACTTTGACTAAGTTTTCGGTTTACTGAAGAAGTTTCCTGTACAAAGAATACATAGCCTTCAGCAGCAGTTGCCTAGGAGTTCCTTTCATCTGAATCTATTTACAAAGGAAAGTGTTATGCCTGTGTGCTTTAGTACCTTGTTCATGGTTTTCTGCTGCAAATGGTAAACCAATCACAATGAAATAAAGATATCTGATACTTTGTGGGACAGATCCTCCATTAGAGGAGCTATGACAATTTACACCAGCTGAGGATCTGGCCGTATGCATGGGGGGTAGGGAGGGAAGAAATCAAATCTCTCCATCCTGCTCTTTGAGAAAAGTACATTCATCCATCCTAAGGTTCGATGTTCACTTGCATTTAAGAATATTTCAGAGAACAGTAAAGTAAGATACAAGGTTAACTGAAAAATAACTCAGTAGTTTAGCTGGCTTTAGTACAGAAGTATTCAACAGAAGCCCGGAGAAAACCTGGGTAAAATCAATGAGAAAATATTAGGGCTGCCAATTAATTGCAGTTAACTCACGTGATTAACTCAAAAAAATTAACTGCAATTAATCACACTGTTAGAATACCAATTGAAATTTACTAAATATTTTTGAATGTTTTCTACATTTTCAAATATATTGATTTCTATTACAACACAGAACACAAAGTGTACAGTGCTCACTTTATATTATTTTTATTACAAATATTTGCACTGTAAAAATGATAAACAAAAGAAATAATATTTTCAATTTACCTCATATGAGTACTGTAGTACAACCTCTTTACCATGAAAGTGCAACTTAGAAATGTAGATTTTTGGTTTTGTAACATAACTGCACTCAAAAACAAAACAATGTAAAACTTTAGAGCCTACAAGTCCACTCAATTCTACTTCTTGTTCAGCCAATCGCTAAGACAAACAAGTTTGTTCACATTTACAGGAGATGCTGCTGCCTGCTTCTTATTTACAATGTCACCTGAAAGTGAGAACAGGCATTTGCATGGCACTTTTGTAGCCAGTGTTGCAAGGTATTTATGTGCCAGTTATGGTAAACATTCATATGCCCCTTCATGCTTCAGCCACCATTCCAGAGGACATGCTTCCATGTTGATGATGCTTGTTAAAAAAATAATGCGTTAATTAAATTTGTGACTGTACTTCTTGGGGGAGAATTGTATGTCTCCTGTTCTGTTTTACTCACATTCTGCCATATATTTCATGTTATAGCAGCCTTGGATGATGACCCAGCACATGTTTGTTTTCAGAACACTTTCAAAGCAGTTTTGACGAAACGCAAAGAAGGTACCAATGTGAGATTTCCAAGGAAAGCGAGAGCACTCAATCCAAGGTTTGAGAATCTGAAGTGCCTTCCAAAATCTGAGAGGGATGAGGTGTGGAGAATGCTTTCAGATGTCTTAGAGGAGCAACACTCCAATGCAGAAACTACAGAACCTGAACCACCAAAAAAGAAAATCAACCTTCTGCTGGTGGCATCTGACTCAGATGATGAAAATGAACATGTGTCGGTCTGCTCTGCTTTTGTTCGTTATCGAGGAAAACCCATCAGCAGCATGGACGCACGTCTTCTGGAATGGTGGTTGAAGCATGAAGGGACATATGAATCTTTAGCGCATCTAGCACATAAATATCTTGCGACACTGGCTACAACAATGCCATGCGAACGTCTGTTCTCAGTTTCAGGTGACATTGTAAACAAGACATGGGCAGCACTACCTCCTGAAAATTGTAACCAAACTTGTTTGTCTGAGTGATTGGCTGAAGTAGGACTGAGTGGACTTGTAGGTTCTAAAGTTTTACATTGTTTTATTTTTGAATGCAGTTATTTTTTGTACATAATTCTACATTTGTAAGTTCAACTTTCATGATAAAGAGATTGCACTACAGTATTTGTATTAGGTGAATTGAAATATATTATTTATTTTGGTTTTTACGGTGAAAATATTTGTAATAAAAATAAATATAAAGTGAGCACTGTACATTTTATATTCTGTGTTGTAACTGAAATGAATATATTTGAAAATGTAGAAAACATCCAAAAATATTTAAATAAATGGTATTCTATTATTGACGGTGCGATTAATCGCACGATTAATTTTTTTAATCACTTGACAGCCCTAGAAAATATACTCACTGGAGGTTTTTAAGACCCTAGTGATAATCTGAGCCATTGGCAGTAACAGAGAGTGCATAAAATTTTCCCTGAAAGTCTAGATGAGCTAAATCACTTCACATATTATATAAATAAAAGTTTAAACATCCCATTACTCATCCTGTAATACATAATTAATGAAAGACATTTTGTTTAGACAAAACACAGACTGTACCAGCCAGGCACTTTGTAGGTATGCAGTATCTTAATAATCATATAGGCACTGTTGGTTGAATTCTGGTCTCTGCCACCAAAAGAATTATCCAGGTTTCTTATATTGTAATATTTATGAGAGACTTACTTTGTAGCTCCGATGACGTAGTGTATCCCCTACAAATACTGTTTTTCCTACTCCTGCATTTCCAACAAGCATGACTGGTTTGCCTTTCTCCAGCAGCAAATCAGTAAAGTATCTAAGACGTGTGGTCTCAGATGTGTGAACAAGGACTGCCTGAAACATCAAGAGAAAGAGTAGCAACAGTTTTTACTTCTTGCTTAAGTTAATATGACACAAGTGATCTTTTCGGGGCTCTTTAAAAAATATTATGGAGATAGCTGGTAGTGGCCACATATATATAGCTTGGGTGGAATTTTAAACAGGCTTAAAATGGGACATAACTTTCTGCTTTTCTCTAAATGTAAGCAGATTATTGATGTGAAATTTCACACAGGATTAAGTTTTATGCCCTTTGAATGTTCTGAATACTTTTTTTCCCCCTCAATTTTTAATAGGAAGTCTTTGAAATTGGACTGTAGCTGAAATCTAGCCAATATTTACCAAAAACCACTATCTGCAAAAAAATTAGTAGAAAGGTGAATGTTGAATAGATCTAGTGCAATGGTTAGGGTTTTTTAAATTTGGATTTATATTAATTTTTGGCTGTTATTCATCGTAACAAAGAATGTTCCATTGGTTGCCAACAGATAAGCTTTCTGCACTATGAGCCCATAAAATCTTCTCTATCAGACAAAACCTTTTTTTCCTTCTACAAGAGCTACGCTTTTCTGTCAGACTTTATCCTACAACAAAGAAGTTTTGTGTGGCTGCTAATAGATTAAACTGTTTTTCATTAGCAGCTGCACACTTCTATTTCCCCACATGTCCACCCCGCCTCATAATAATCCTACTCTCATTTAAGCATTTAAAAAACCCCTAGGAAATTAATACACACAAAAAATTGTTGTGATCCATTTCAGATTGTTACACACATAACATATCAGATACAAAACCACACAAAATAAGGACATTAAAAGTTAAGGTAACTAGTAGTACATCCTCCACCCAGAGGCACACACTTTACCACAAACACAACTACTGTATACCAGAAACCATCCACCACAACCTTTTTAGGAACACCAGCTTTCTATCACCCCCTTAATCAAACCTACTGCTTCCCACCACACCAACTATCCATAACTATTAGTATGGAGACAAGGTAGTTGATGCAAAAGCACGTGCAGAAGGTTGGGGAGGGGAAGAGTTAATGTTGTGATGGATGGTAGTTATGAGACTGCCAATATTACAGACTCACAGAACTGTAAGGCTGGAAGAGATCTCAAGAGATCATCAAGACTAGCCCCCTGCAATGAGGCAGGACCTATTGCACCCAGACCCATTCCTGACAGTGTTTGTCTAACCTGTTCTTAAAAACCTCCTATGACGGGGATTCCCCCACCTCTCTTGGCAGCCTATTCCAGAATTTAACTATCTTCATAATTAAAAAAGTTTTCAGAAAATCTAATCTAAGTCTCCCTCCTGCAGATTAAGTCCATTACTTTTTTATCCTACCTTCGGTGGAAATGGAGAACAATTGATCACTATTCTCTTTATAGCAGCCCTTAACATATTTGAAGACTGTTGTTAGGACCCTGCTCACTCTTCTTTTCTCAAGACTAAACAACTTTTTTTTTTAAACCTTTCCTCATAGGTCAGGTTTTCTAAACCTTTTATCATTTTTGTTAGTCTCTTCCGGATTCTCTCCAATTTGTTCACATCTTTTTAAAGTGTGGTATCCAGTACTGGATGCAGTACTCCAGCGGAAGCCTCACCAGCACTGAGTAGAGTGGGACAATTACCTCTCATGACTTAGGTACAACACTCCTGTTAAACACCCCAGAATTATATTAGCCTTCTAATGATGGGACGTTAGATGGGTGGGATCTGAGTTACTACAGAGAATTCTTTCCTAGGTGTCTAGCTGATGAGTCTTGCCCACATGCTCAGGGTTTAGCTGATAGCCATATTTGGGGTCAGGAAGCAATTTTCCTCTAGGGCAGATTGACAGAGGCCCTGGGGGTTTTTTCACCTTCCTCTGCAGCGTGGGGCATGGGTCACTTGCTGGAGGATTCTCTGCACCTTGAAGTCTTTAAACCACGATTTGAGGACTTCAATAGCTCGGACATAGGTTAGGGGTTTGTTACAGGAGCGGGTGGGTGAGATTCTGTGGCCTGCATTGTGCAGGAGGACAGACTATTTGATCATAATGGTCCCTTCTGACCTTAAAGTCTATGATTCTCCTCAACTGCATCACATTGCAGACTCATTCAATTTGTGACTTGCTATAACCCTCAGATCCTTCTCAGCCATACTACCACTTATCCAGTTCTTCCCCATTATGTAGTAGTTCATTTTCCTTTCCTAAGTGTAGTACTTAGAGAATTGGTCTGAAATCAAGATGATGAAACTGAATATAGGACAAGGGCTAATTTGTCAAGGTCATTTTGAATTCTAATTCTGTCCTCCAAAGCGTGAGCAACCCCTCCCCCCATCCACACATTTTTATGAAAGCACGCTCTCCACTCCATTATCCAAATAATTAATGAAAATATTGAATAGTACCATACCCAGGACAGACCTCTGTGGGACCCCACTAAATACTTCCTCCTCCTCCACCCTCCCCCAGTTTGACAGAGATCATTGATAACTACTTTGAGTATGGTCTTTCTTTGCACTTTTCTCAAAGAATAGTTATCAATGGTTTGCTATCAAACTGGGGAGAGGAGGATTTATCTAGTGGGGTTCCACAGAGGTCTGTCCTGGATCCAGTGCTATTCAATATTTTCATTAATGACTTGGATATCGTTGGCCACTTCATTAAACTGACTTTGTGCCTCAGTTTCCTCACCTATGAAACTGAAGATCATAATCACTTATTTCATGGGGTATTGTGTCAACTAATTTGTGTTTGTGCAGTGCTTTTATAATGTAAAGCAGTATGTAAGTGCTAAGTGTTGTTATTATCCCTAAGTCACTCAGATATGGAGTATGGAGCCAATAACAAAGATCTACCCAAATACTTATATTTGGAGAATGTTATTTTCAGTCATTATAAAAATAAAAATAAAAAACTACAAAAACAGTGCTCATCCATACATGTCTTCAGTACACTTATATTGTACCTGTAAAGGTGTTTCTGGATCCATATCAAATTTTGGAACTTTATCAGTCCAGGGCAAGAATTTCCTAGTCTTTGGGTCAAGATAATAATCAAAAATTGTACCCTGGGATGGAAACTTCACCGCTTTCATCTCCTTGAGCCACCAGCAGCTGAATTCAGTTTGATAATTTGAAAGCTATAAAAATATTACAATTTATTTGTTATTTAGTTATTTAATATATTATGGTCTACTGTGTTATGTCTAGAGCATGAAGTTCTTACAATGTGTACATAGAGATGCATATTAAAAAAAACCCTCAAAACAAACACTGCAGGCACACATACAAATTTGATGATTGTTTATAACCCCCTAATGCAGTTGTAGTAATCAAGGGCAGTCAAACTGTGTTTAATTCAGGACATGTGGACCTTCTGACTGAAGTGGCTGATGCTCAGCTGGTGTCACTCCTTGAAAGGCTGAAATCAGGAGCCCCCCAGATTAAACCCACCCACCTTCCCCATTCTCCACTTCACTGCCAAAAAGTAAGCAGTTAAATGTAGCTCAAATTTGAAAAGTGATGAGATTCGAGGGCTGACTTGCTTCAACCATGCCCTTGCTCTTTTTCTTTACTGTCCAGGAATAACTTTCCATGGGCAGGCTGAAAGAATTCTAAAGAGCCCCAAGGCCCCTCTAGCTGTTGAGGTCAGCCTCTTCTTCCAAGGAAAGATCTTTCCCCAGGCTTCTGATGGGACAGCCTTGATAACAGCTGTTATCAGTCCAGTTGGGGCACTTCCTGCTTCTTAATGTGTATGTGAGTTCCTCCTTTACCTCTTGGACATTATAAACCCCATCACACTCACAGGGACTGCACCTTATCTGCATTAAAATTGAGCCAATTCAGTCATGTTAATCTTTAATACAGAGGTGTGGCTGGGCAGAAATTACGGGACCCAGCAGACATCTTGATCCAAAAAAAAGTCTTCTAAATGCTTGTTGAGGCTATTATCCAACAGAGCATTCCTACCCACAGCACGTGATGTATCCTCACAAAAAGTCTCAGGAATGGTCTCAATTAGAGGAAGGATATATCACGATGTACTGGAGAGCATACTCCATTCCCATATTGCCCCCTTGCAAGTATCAGTCATTGCGCTCTGTGGGTGCGGTTCATGCTCCAGCCTACTGCAGATAATGGTGCTAGCCTCCTACAGGCAGAGGGGCAGGGTGAAAATTGTAAGCTGAGCCATAGTCATGTGTCACCAGAGCTGAGCTGATAAGAGGGAAGTGCTGGTCTCACCCTTATAAAGAGAACAGTCTTTGGGGAAGGGACAGTCTTTTTATTCTGTTTGTATAGTCCCTAGCACAATAGGGTCTCTGTCCATGACCGAGGCTCCTAGGGGCTACAATACCTAATAATAAATAAGGGCTGTTCTGACCTTCAGATGCATCATTTGCAGGAGCACCCACAGGGGCAGTGCACCATTGCTAGCTGAAGAGGTACAATTTAGCCCTATATTTCTTTAATGAACTGCAAAATAATTTGGTTATGTAAACTGCTCTCTAGCGTACCTGATCTCGAAAGAGTGCACCACCAAACGCCCAAACACAGGCAAAGACAAAGTATATCTCATAGAGCTCTCTTGGGCAGTCAGGAGGCACATTTTCAGGGGTCAGCAAACAATCCAACAAAGAACAAAGGGTCTAAAAAAAAAAAAAGGTGGTGAAGAGTGTGATCTTTAAATCCTTGCTCCTGAGGGTGGTGATGGTGACTCAATCTCAGGGGCAACATGATGACTAAGTATGCTGCAATCATGACTATATAATGCAAGAAAAGGAGGCTGGCATTTAAAGAAGGAAAAATGAGAAACCACAGTGACAAGTTTGTTAGGCTAATTTTACCATTGAGAACTGTGCTGTCTGCTGTATCTTCCTCTCCACTTGTACATTAAACCAAACTAAGTAATCCTCTGACTGACTCTTGAATCCTTGTGTAGAGCCAGTCAGTCAAGACCCTCCTCCATATGAATAAACCATACTTAAACGCAAGTACTTCAAATTAAATACACCAAAATAAAAATAGCTTCCACAAGAGCAAACACCAAAAGGTTGTTCCAATAAAAACAGAAATTTCCATGAGTTCTTTTAAACTGCTAAAATGACTACTCAGATTATATATTACTGTATTTTTAATTCATAACACCTTTTCATTTTAGTTTCTTTCGGACACAGAATTTTGCTGCATGGTATTTCTGCTTGTAATATTTTTTCCTGTCTACACTATTTGTACAAAATTGTAAAAAACAACCCAGAATCTCTGAATAGAATAAAAGAAATTTAAGTAAGTTATACACACTGCCCCTTACTCTGCCATCATTGAAAGATGTTTTATTCCATGCCTTTGAAAGGAAAGAGTTAAGAACATCCCATGTGTGACAGGACAGAACCTCTTTGCTGGAAACAATGGGGAAGTCTAAAAATCCTTATTAAGCATTCAGACTATAGAGAAAGAATTCATGTTCAGGAACATTTTCCAATTTATTCCTAAAGACAAACTGATCAACATATAAAAATCACACAACAAAAATACATAAATATTGTATAACTCGTTATGCTTTTTGCAGAATAATTTCAAGCTACCCATGCAATCAACTTACTATTGCATGCAGAAAGACTACCTTAAAACAACATTAAGGTTACAAACAGATCTGTGCAGAGAGTGGAAGTTCCATTTCAGGAAGGATTTAAAGATTTGGCTTCATTCTAAATTGGAATGAAAACCAAACATTTTGAAATTCTCTGCAAAGGAAAATCCCAAACATTCTCTTTTTGTGTCAAAACATTTCACTTGGACAAAATTATAATATAGAATACAAATACATTTTGTAGATAAAAAGTAGTTTCAAAACGAAAAACTGAAACTTTTAGTTATAAAAATGTCAAAATAGAATGTTTTGACATTCATTGTCAGGACTTCTTTTTTTTTCTGTCTTTCTTCCAAAACAAAATTTTGGCCAAGCATAGAACCATATATACCGGTGGAATGTGGTTCTGTCAAAATTTCTCCACCCAGTTTTACAAAGGTACAAAGTGGAGCATTTGAAATTTAGAAAATGACAAAGTGCAGGTGTATAGGTTAGGATGCACTCTTATTATATGGTCATACACTTTTTTCCCCACATGAACCCTGCCTCATGATCATTTAAAAGATTCAGAGTTGTAAAGATGACTCACATGAAAGCTGTGTGTGCTGGCTGACTGGTGTTCAGTGAAGGAAACTGGTGTTCAGTTTTATCCTCTTCTATCATTCAATACTTGGTACCAATGTCATATTTACTGGACATCAACACAATGGATTTCTCTCTCTCTTTATAGGTGTTTATATGGCTCCCATCACTATGGTATTTTAGCATCTCACAAAAGGTGGATAAATTTATCCACACCCCTGTGAGGTTGGGAACTATTATCCCCATTTTAGAGATGCAAAATGGAAGCACAGACAGATAAAATGACCTGCCCAAGGTCACACAAGAAGTCTGTGGCAGAGGCAAGATTAGAACTCAGATGTCCTGGATCTCAGTCCAGTGTCGTAATCCCTAAATAGTTCTTCTTGTTAGAGTGGACCCCAGAAGAAGAACATTTTTGGATCACTGCTTCCTTCCCCACTCCCAGTAATTATGGAAAGAAGTGGGACTCTAAAAATGTGTCCATTTTTGACACTTAATTTTTCCGTAAAATAAATTTAAAACCTATTAACTTTACACAATTTCCAGACGCACACCTATTTTAACAGCTTGCCTTCATGTGCACCAAAAATAAGATTGCATATTCAGAATAGATTTCAGGAATTTTGTTGTCTACACTTACTGACCTATATTTTAATATAATTCTAATGCATACCTGCACCATGCTATTCTCAGGAATAGGGGTGATAGTTTTAAAGCTTGTTCTGAGCTGATCTAAGCAGGGAGGCACATATTTATCAAAGAGGATAGTTAAATTAGCTTTTTCAGATTGGTGATTTCTTGTTTCTATCCAACTGGCAACATACCTGCAAAACACAACAGAAAGATACCAGATTTTGTAGGGGAGACCAGAGAAGTCCAACACACAATAGCTTTCCTGAGATTAAAGTCAGGCCCTTGCAACACTACACACTTGTGATGTACCTCTTGTCCGCACACAGTAGTGCTTGGAACAGTACACAAGTGTTGCCAGCACCATAAGAACAAGAGCTGCCATACCAGGTCAGACCATAGTCCATCTTGCCCAGTGTTCTGCCTCAGACAGCAGACTGTATCAGAGCTTTAGGGGGACAGTTAAGAACAGGACAATTATGAGGTGATGTACCCCATCTTCCATTCACAGCTTCTGGTAGTCAGAGGTTTAGGGTCACCTAGCACATGGGGTTGTGTCCCTGACAATCTTGGTAAATAGCCATTGATGGACCTATTCTCCATTAACTTAGCAGTTCTTTTTTGAACCCAGTTATACTTTTGGCCATGACAACATCCCATGACAATGAGTTCCACAGGTTAATTGTGCATTGTGTGAAAAAGTACTTCGTTGTTTGTATTAAACCTGCTGTCAACCAATTTCATTGGCTGACTCCAGTTTTGTATTGGGTGAAAAGATAAATAACACTTCTGTATTCACTTTTTCCACACCATATCATAGACCTCTATCATATCCCCTTAGTCATTTCTTTTCTCAGCCGAATAACCTTAATCTTTTTTGTGTCTCCTAGTATGGAAGCCATTCCATACTCCTGACCATCTTAGATGCCCTTCTATGAACCTTTTTTGAGAAGGGGCAATCAGAACTGCACCCATGATTCAAGGTGTGGGTGCATCATGGATTCATATAGTGACACTATGATATTTCCTATCTTATTTTTTATCCCTTTCCTAGTAGTTCCTAAAATACTGTTAGCCATTTTTCCCACTGCTGTATGCTGAGCTGAAGTTTTCAGAGAACTATAGCCAGTGACTCCAAGTTCTCGTTTTTGGGTAGTAATAGTTAATTTAGAACCCTTCGTTGTATATTACAGTTGGAATTATTTTTTCCATTGCTTTGCACTTATTAACATTGAATTTCATCTGCCATTTAGTTGCTCAGTCACCCAGTTTTGTGAGATCCTTTTGTAAAGCCTCACTCCCTGCTTTGGACTTAACCATCTTGAATAATTTTGTATCATCTGCTGACTTTGCCACTTCACTGTTCCAGATCCATTGCAGCTGCATTTGCTTTAGCAGATCTCATCATAACCATTGCATCCCAAAGGGCTGTTGTGGCAGCTGAGCAGAGTGGCACCCAACTATGCCCTCTTTCCTTGGCCACATCCTCTCCTTTAGGGAGGGTAGGGAAGAGGGTGACATAACTATGTGAGCCCCAGGCAATTTTCTGGTTGCTGTCATGCAGATGGAACAGCACAAAACTGCTGGAGCTAAGGCTAGCATTTGGCCTTATATTTTACAGAAGAGGCCATTTGTAAATACAAATATCCACATTTTATACATGATTCAGTTTTGTCCGAGTTACATTTAACTTATTAGAATTATTTTCAGTATCGTTCGTAACATAAGTCCTAACTGGAAAAGCATAATATATCTACAGGTAGCAGAGAGACACTTACTCATCCTCTAGCTCCTTCCACAATGGATAAGTAAAACTTCCTTAACATGATGCTAATCATGACATGGACCTGAGGCTGGACTCATCACATGTTTGGAGCTACTGATAAACATTTGGGGGAAAGATCTGATTTGTCCACTGTAAATGCTTCTAAACGCACATTGAGGGATGGATGTTCAGGAATATTAATCAAATGTTCTCTAAACTGGTATGACCATATTATGTTAGATTGGCCACTCTGATACCCTCCCAGACCCATCTCAATACTCCTCAATTGTTACTGTGAGATTATTAGTCTAGTACTGTATCCATACGTTAATGTTAACCCACCAATACTCATTCTCCTTGTTGGACATCTTGCATACCTAGACCAACCTCCCACTATTTATATTAAATTCTCATGTTCACTATATTTCTTCTGGGACAACACTTATAATATATGTTTGTACAGCACCGAGCACAATGAGGACCCAATTTCAGGAGTGGCTGCTAGGCGCTACTGTAATACAAATTAGAGACAGTAGGAATTTCCCAAATTTCAATTTTTCCATCAAAAGTTATCATTGAAATTTCAAATTTTGACTGCACGCACACAGTTTTTGTAATCAATTTTCACAGAATTATGACTCTAAAATAAATCAAAGAAGGGAAAAACATGATTCAGAAGACAAACGGGAAGTTGATCTGGCACCTCTCATGACTGTACTTTCCGTAACAGATATCAGTGGAGCAAAACAAGGGGATAGTTACAAAAGGCTGACAGATGCCTCTAGTGTATCTAGTCAGTTCACTGCTTGAGACCTACCTCTTGCAGCTGCCAAGCCTGCACTGTAAATAGCTGAGAATCAGATTCAGAACAGCCCAGATTGAGACGGACAACTAAACCAGGGATGTAAAGGATATATAAAATATGGAACAGATAATCCCAATGCTGAAAATTTTTAACTGAGTGTGCATACACATGCATGTGTACAAGTATCTATATATAGTAAATAATATTAAATTATCAAGTAAATTAATGGGTTCTATTGCTATTAAACTAACTAATAATATTGTTTTATCATTTTTTGAAGGTATCTTTAAAAGATAAAATACTCACGGATTCCAACCAAGATCCTGGGGGTTTACATAAAGAATACCTGCTCTAGACACTGTAGCTGGGGTAGCAGTTTTTAAATGGTGTATCTCAAACAGCAGCCTCATCGATGGAGTCAGAGGGACACGTTCATTGCTGGCAAGGGTCAGGACCTAAACATCACCAGTAAAGCACTGAACAAAAGTAACTTAAGACATACATTCTAACAAGCATATATCATGAATAGGCCTGTACAAATTATAGACCTATGTAGATTTCAGGTATATTTATAGCACATATTTGCACGCACACACACCCTTCAGAATGAATCTGGACATGATAGGATTCTTCCAAATTTAAAATTTAAGGCCATGATATTTGTTTTAAAAAACACATTGGAGCATAAATTAGAGACCACACTTTATGGCATACCATATGCTTGACAGTTCAGTTAATTTTTATAAACAGCAGAATCTATATAGGTTTATTTTCAGTGGTGTGTATATATTCAAGATAATTATTACACTTCAAGATAATTTTCACTTCATTTAATCTTAAAAAAAGAAGAGTGTTTAAAAGTCAGGTATGAGCTACAATAATGTTTGTAAAATTAAGTTTAGAATGTATTTAACTACATTGTAGCATTTCTTGTAGCAAACACTGTTGTTTTTCTTGCACTGTAGCAAACATAATTAGAGTACAGGACTGGGAGTCAGAGGTTTCTATCCTATTCCTGTCTCTCTTGCTAACTTGATCAGGCAAGTCACTTACAATTTCTGTGCATCAGGTGTAATAATACTTCCAACCTCATAGCAGTGTTGTTGGGCTTAATTCATGAATGCGTGTAAAATTGCTTTAGAGTTTTGAAGGAAAAAGCACTCTGCAAATGCAAATATTTAATGTTAATATAATTACTAGATTTTGGCTGATGCTTTGAGTACATTTGTAACCCCCATTACACATACATATTCACTGAGAGGTGCATATACCTTTACAGTGTAGACAGAATGACTTTAAACATCTCCATTGTGTAGGATCAGATATGAAAGAGATAAGGTTGTTACCAACTGGCATTGCACTAATTAGCAATAGTGAAGATAAAAAGGGAAGGGTTAAAATTAGGGCTATTATGCAATTAAAAAATTTATTGCAATTAATCACACTATTAAACAATAATAGAATACCATTTATTTAAATATTTTTGGATGTTTTTTTCCTGTTACTCACCTTATTATCATCCATGACAGTATTGAGTGACTCAGTCCACATAGGATCTATATCTCCATCTAGGACGATCCATTTTGGCCCATCCTGGATAATATTAGCCTGCTCTCTTAGAAGAGATGAGAAGAGACCTGCAAATTGTGTTTAAATAAAATCCAAATCAATATGGTGCTTCAATACAACCTTTTGAAACAAATATTCCTGAAATATTACTGCATCATTAATAACACAAAAGATTTTGTAACAATGTAAGAACTGGTTTCCTTCTAGTTGCTTATTAAACAGCCATTCAAATTAAAGAGGAAATAGGCTCAGTGAGCAGGTTATACAGCAAATTAACTGGCTATAAAAATGGCTGATTTCTGGTGTGACTGCATGATAATACTGTTTGAGCAGGAGACCCTTTCCACTGCATCAATCCTCATTATGTGGGCTAGGTACGGAGGCTCCATGGGAGCTAGGGAGAAAGTTGCTGAGACACTGCAACAGCCCACAGGATCTCTCTCCTCTACTTCAGCACCCCTGTTCTGCAGCTGGGAACTGGCCAGAGGATTCACATAGCAAGGAATCAATTACTCTCTTCTCTTTCCATTGCCATTACCCTTGCCCTGACCCCAAATCTCATTGCATGGAAATATACAGGAAACCCTCATTGCTCTGGACTCCTTGGCTGGTAGGTATGCTCCATATTTGTTTTGTTTTTTCCTGGTGGAGGACTGTATAGATCTTAGCGATGAAAGTAATGTTAACTGCTACTAGCCATCTTTCCATTCCCGGGTTGCATGATGTATAAAACCAAACAGCTCGTCAGTGGTCACAGCTTTTGGGTTTAGGTCATTCCACACAAGCTTTTCTTTCATGTTCACATATGTTCGGTTCAGAGTTCTCAGAACCTGAAGGGCAGGAGAGAAAAAAAGATCGACGCATGTGACTTAGTCACTGAACCTCAAACAAAAAGTTTCTAGCTTCTTTATCATTTGTTAATAATGACAGATCTGTCAACCCTCATCCACAGCTGTCTTGGTTTCCTTGAGCTCCCTCCTCTCTGCCCTACTTTACCACCACCCTCCCACCAAACAGATAAAAGTGACTAGTAGGAATCCTGGTCTGACAATCCTGCTAAGGATTCACTCTGGTAAACCACAGGAAGCTGGTCCAATGGAGAAGCTTGGATGAGGATAGACTTGTAGTCAAACCACTGAACTACGACTCAAGAAATCTGGATTTAGTTCCCAGCTCCACCAGAGACTCCGTGTGTGACTTTAGGCAAATCAATTAATCTCTCTCTGTGCCTCAGATTCCTTTGGGTAAAATGGGGATAATATACAGTAATGACCAGGGCATGTAGTTTTGCTTACTATCTAAAGGACCATAATATTGAAAAAACATGGCACTATACGATGACTGTCAAAACGTAGCAGCTGAGATGTAAGAGTATCATCTTCCAAAAATATTCAGCTACTACTTTGGGAACAAAGAAACATTGACCTCACTCTTCCTGGCTAGTAATCTAACTACACCCTCCAAAACATACATTCAAACCTATTTGCCAAATATAGTTTCCATTATGCATTGCCATGACTATTCTCATTTTGAGTCATGCAAGTAATACGTAGGAGACAAACCCTACATTTTAACATTGAGATTTGTGATTGCACTTCATACCCCTGCTGCTGGGAATGCCTGACCAATATGGTATCATATTGCAGCCTGAAGGGAAGAGAATATTCTTCTCTGTGAACTAATGAAATACTCTTTATAAAAAGAAAGACAGACAGAAAATGTGCCATCTACTGTACCGTGCTCTTTCCTGTGCCTGCATTTCCCACCACAAAGACAGAGTGACACACTGCCAGAAGCTCCTCCAGCTGAACAACCTGCCAAACAGAATTAGTACACAGCTAATGGTTTTGTTTTCCTGTCCTCCCATTATCACCAAGACACTAATTATTTCCCACATATTATCTCCCTCCCACCTTTTCTCTTAGTCAGGAAAATGAACTGTTGCCTTCGTAGCTAACTTAAAAATGTGTATACCCAAGGGAACTGAGTTTGCCTTCTAAGGCTGTAGGCAAAGCCCAGTCTTGTTTGGATGAATGACTATACCTCAACAAATTAAAACAAATCTCATTTTCCAACTAATTGATTTACACAATCATGGAGACTAGTAAAAGAAAATGAGAACCATCACCATACCATGGGCTATAGAATGGGGATCAAACATTTTGTTGTATGGTGTGAAGAATAGTAACCACATATCACAGGTTAAGTGGTGCTAAGAGTTAGAACAACATAGCAGCAATAATTTCTGCTAATGTGCAACATTCAACAAGTCCCTGTTAAATCCATCTAAAAATAGTCTGGGAAGATACCGAATAACCCATGTGATTCTTAGCCTAAGATATAAATAATTTAGATGTTTTTCACAAATTTAATTCTGTCTAAATAATACACACGAGCTCTTTTTGTATCCAAAGTATGATTCCCCCTTATTCACATGAGGCTTTGGAAAAAAAACAGCAGCAGATTAACTGTCTGATTGATGTGAAAATCAAACACCACTTTTGACAAAAACCTGGAATCAGGCCTAAGAACCACCTTATCTTTATGAAAAGAAATACAAACAGGTGTTCAGCCCCCAAGGAATTCAATTCAGTCACCATTCTGACTGACATTATGGCAATATTATGATTTCTCTCTTAAAATGGCATTATAACGAACACGCAGCTAAGGGTTCAGAAGATGACTTCATAAAAGTGTAGCCAAGACCAAACTGAGATTCCAGGAAAGGAAAGGATTTCTCATAGTGGGATACACATTAGATTAAACCCTTCATAAATTTCTTCATCACATTGCGCACAACCATCAGCCACCAACAAAAAATGATGAGCAGAGACAGCTGCCAAATGAACTTTCAGAGATGAGTTAGATAACCCTGCAGCTATTAAGTGCATCAAATATTCTAAAACACAAGGTATGGGAGCTGAGGCAGGAGAATCATCTTTTCTCCTCATCCAAGCTACATATCTGGGCCATTTCAAGCGGTAACACTTTTTGGTAGACATGCTTTCTAGAATTAAGTAGTACATCCTGCACAGACAAAGAACACAACTGTTCAAAAGTAGACAAAGTTGAAGTCTGATTGCCCACACCGTCAAGTGAAGGGAATGCAGGTGTGGATGAAGGATCCTGCCCTCTTGCTGAGAGAGCGGATCTGGAGAAACAGGAAGATGCATGAAGGCTCTGCCAGACAGAGGAGGCAGATCGGTAAATCACTGATGTGACCAAGCCAGGGCAATGAGAATCATCCTTGCACTGTCCTGATGTATCTTCCTTGCAACCTTCTGGATTAATGGAAAGGAGGAAAAGCATACATCAGGCCCTCTCCCCACTGCAGAAGAAAAGCATATGATATGAATTGACTGTTCCTGCTCACTCTGGAGCAGAAGAGGCAACACTTTTTGTTGAACCTCATTGCGAACAGCTTCACTTCTGGTTAACTCCAACTGGAAAATATCTTCTGAACAAACTGATCCTTTAGGGACCACTCATGAATCTTAGAATTGTCTCTACAGAGACAATCTGCAACTCAGAAGTTCTTCCATGCTAAACACAGGGCCACCAGATAAACATTTTGAAGAATGCACCAATCCCATAACTTGATTGCCTCTGCACAAAAGGAGAGTAGAGTAAGTAGCCCCCTATTTGTTGACATAGTTGTCACCATGTCTGGTATGGATCACAGCTGAGAGGGCCAATCTCAGGTCAGACTATCCAAAAACTGGGCAGACACCCCCACATGGTATATTCTATCATTAGATTTAAACAAACCAGCAACAAATGTATGCTCCTGGATCACTATAACTAGCTTAACATGGAGCCACAGACAGTCCCCTTCGACAATCCAGCCTATATTACCACCCAGACAAACTGGACTTCTGTGATGACAGGTTATTAAAACCAAAAATCAGCACACATTAGGTTCTTCCAGCTCCAGGGGGCCAGTCACTTATCCAAGTCAATGGATCCTCAGGACCTTACACCAAACACAAAGCTGTAGCCAATCCTTTAGTGAGCTAACTGAAGATTTATTAACTATGAAAAAAAAACAGTTACTAAAAAGTTAAAGCCAATAAAATACATTACAGGTGGATCAAAGTATGTATTCCAAAATGTTAGCATGGATGTTAAATCTGCTAACTTTCTATAAGTCTCTCTGGGTTGCCCAAATAGTTTTTGGGGACCTCGGTTCTTTTGTTCAAAATTTCCTCTGGTCAGAATTCACCAGTCCAAAGATGAAGTAGGAAAGAGGTGGCCAGGGCCTTTGTTCTCCCTCTTTTAATCTGTACCCTTTTTGCTGGAAAAATCCTTGTGGTGTTATGGAATCAAGCAGTTCCACAGCATATATGCTCTGCCATCACAGCATATATGCTCTGCCATCATTCTTCATATGAATTGCAAATTTCTGCTTGCACATTTTCCATATGTGCCATTTGGGGCATCCTCAGGGACAACATGCAGGGGCTCTTGTTTAGAGTTCATTTGTTATTCCTGAAGAGCTAACCTGTGAGCGTTTCTCATACTCACAAACATGTTTTAGTTAAAAACCATATAGCAAAATCTCATAATTCCACACACAATGTCGAGATGTACATTATAACCAGATAATAATATTTGGCAGATTACAACTTTTCCAATGATACTTCAGAAGGCATACTGTGAACAAGATTTACTACAATTTTGTAAAAGTGGTGACTATATTAGTGTAGATGGTCACCTTCCCCTTTAGATAGCATCACAGTAGTGCATAGCAGATGTATTGCCTATTACCATTTGCACAACCCTCCTCTGTAAGTGAGAGATAATCTGAGGGCCAGGTGAATGGCTCTCAGCTCCGACACATTGATATGCAAGGCTCTGTCCTGAGAAGTCCAGTGGCACTGAACTGTCAGATGACTCAAATGCACCCTGGCTCAACCATTGTTTGAAGCATCTGAAGTTACCATCAGAGATGGTGGGGGATTGAATTGAACACTCCTGAGAACATTTGCTCTGATTGACCACCACGCTAGTGAGTCTAAAATGTTGGTCAGCATGCCTTGAAATATTTGAAGATTGGCCCAACTTGGCCTGTAGACTTGAGACATCCAGCACTGCATAGGCCTCATTCTTAGAGGAGAGAACAGAGTCACATAAGCAGTGGCTGCTATGAGACCCAGAAAAAAGTTTTTGAATGCTTAAAACATATTGTAGTATTTTCAGAAATCTGTCTTAATGGATAGGCTCTCCCTTCCAGAGTCCAATATGGAGCCTATGATCAAAAATCTCTGAGTTTGACAGGCATTTGACTTTTTGACATCGAGAAGACCAGCCAGATCTGAGAAAAGGGTGGTCGTAAAAGCAATATGGTTTAGTACATCCTTGCGCACAGCAGCCAATTGATCAAGCCGGGGTAAACAAAAAAAAACTCTGCCTTCTCAGTTGAGCCACTACCACAGAGAAGCATTTTGTAAAAACTCTGGACACCATGGAGAGGCCAAATGGCACCACCTTGTACTGAAAATAGTGTCCTGGCACCATGAAACAAGGGTATTTACAATGACTGTGGTGAATCAGTATATGAAAATACATGTCCTTTAAATCAAGAGTCACAAATGAATCCATGATCAAAAGTGAAGGGATTACAGAGGCCAAAGTTAAGACAGGGAATCAAAACTTCCCTATGTATTTATTCAGGTTCCTTAAGTCTATAATTGAATGTCACCCCCGTTTCTCCTGGTCAGTTTGGGACTATGATGAGGTAATGCTCACCTGATCCTGAAGGGGGCGGGGCAAAGCCTAGAGGGCAGAAAGAACTTGATAAAAGGGAGAGATGTTTGCTAAGCTCTTCCTCTCTCTTCCACCTCCATCTACAGACATCACCACCAAGCAACTGAAGTGCTGACCAAGGGAGAGAGCCTGGCTGAAGGGCAACCAGCCAGCCTGTGCTGAGAAGCATCTAAGTTTGTAAGGGAACTGAAAGTGTTAAGATCAGCTTAGAATGCGTTTTGCTTTTGTTTCATTTGACCAAATCTGACTACTTGTGCTTTGATTTATAATCACTTAAAATCTACCTTTTGTAGTTAATAAACATGTTTGTTTATTCTACCTGAAGCAGTGCATTTGGTTTGAAGTGTGTCAGAGACTCCCCTTGGGATAACAAGCCTGGTGCATATCAATTTCTTTGTTAAATCGATGAACTCATGTAAGCTTGCAGCATCCAGCAGGCATAACTGGACACTGCAAGTCGGAGGTTCCTAGGGTTGTGTCTGGGACTGGCTAGTGTCATTTGGTTGCACGATCCAAGCAGCAGCTGGCCAAAAGTGCTCACTCATGTAACTGGGAGCAGCTTAAATGCTAGAGGCTGTGCAGGAACAACCCAGGAGTGGGGGTTCTCACAGCAGATCAGGGTAAGGCTGGCTGCCAGAGCTGAGGACTGGAGTGACCTAGCAGATCACTGGTCCAGATAACACCAGGGGAACATCACAATTCCCCCATCCTTTTTTCTGCACCACAAAGTACCTGGAATAGAACTCAACTCCAAGTATTCAGGTACCTCCTTGACAGCTGCTATCAAAAGTAATTTTTTTACCTCTGAAAGTAGAATATCCTCACAAGAAGATACCCTAAAAAAGGGAAAGATACATGGAAGTGGAGAGCAGTAGTCTTTCAAACTGTATGGCACCGACATTTTCTATATAAGTTCTTAAACCCATTTGTCTGATGTAATAAGTCTCCATGGACTGATAAAATGGGCTCGCCTGTCTCCAAACAGATATGACACCCAGATGGAGAATGACTCTCTCCCAAACTCTTGAGGCACCTGGTATCCAACACTGGGAAGACAGCAGGGCACAAAGCATGCCTCTTGAATTCCAGCTTCTTCTTCCTCTGCGGTTCCACCATCACCCAGAACTGAAACACTAACACCTACCTACCAACTAACAACAACAAAACACAAATGAACACTGATGGAGAAAGAACTCTGGATCTGAGCAGATTGGGCACTTCAATCCAGTGGTTCACTTCAATCCAGGCACTTGGCTGGAAGGAGATGAGGTAGTAGAGGATGCAGTGCCCTCTGATACAGCCTCATTCTGAGAATGTTTGGAGACACTGAAGGGAAAGGTGGTGTGGGTGGGGGGTGAGAGAGCACCCCAAGGGTCACTTGCTAGAAAGTTCTACCATTGGGCAGTGCAATACTCAGGAATGGGAATATGCAGAGCCACTCAAAGAACTACATGATCTTACTTCAACCCTTGTTCTCCCTTCCCATTATTGCTGCTGCACTGTGTATTGCCGTCACTCATGGTGTCCTGTCTAAAATAAACACACTATATGTTATACATAATAATACTTATTATTTGCTGGTGTTAAAGTGTTGGTACTATAAACCTACTGTACTGTATGTTAAGAGAACTCTTCAACACAGAGGTATTTGAACAAGAAATATTTCCCTGTCTCCATATGGGCAGTATATACACTACATATTTACTAACATGAATCTACTTGTATTGAATTGCAATATGCCGTCATGACACAGTGCCTTTGAAACACCTAGACTTTCAGGACACATTAGGAACACTGCAATGTACTGCAAGTTAACCTTCATGTCTAATACAACTTGACTGCAATTATGTTGATTGAAACTCTTAAGGGGTGTAATTAAAAGCAATGGATTATTTTACTTTGAGCATAAAGCTCTCCTCAGGTTGCAAGTGAAGCTCCAGGGTAGATTGTTTAACCATCTGTTCAAATTGCAGGTCCCTCTTCCTCGGAACATCCAGAGCTGGAAACAGGTCACTGATCAGGCCCATGAAAATTGGGATATCATCTGTCACTATTTTAGGCAAGTTGAAGTCTCTTAAGGTTCGCATAAGTACCTGGAAAAGGATGGTAAATCACATATTATCATATCAGCCAGGGCTTTAAACCCATCTCCCTCTCTTCAGGATTCGTCTTTATTCCCAGTGATTCAGAGTTAAACACAGTATCAGAAGTTCTTATGATTGTTAAACTTAAATATGTACATAAAAGGTACCTAACCTGATCCTCAGGTCTGTTCTTATCTCCTCGCTTCAATGAGCCAGCAACCACCAAGACTGACTTAACAGCACGAAGTCCCCAATCATAATGATACTATGAAAAAAAAACAAAAACACTGACTATTCATGAAACCTTATGAATTGAAAGTTTAAATGTAAATATTTAAGGAGAAAACCTTAGAAATATATACAATTTAATATATAGCTAGATGGAGAGAGAAACTAGAATTTACAACATATTAAAATATTTTAGACTAGTGTAAATATGAAGTAACATCACTGATTTCAGAAGATTTACAATGAGCTGATTTATACTGGTGTATCTGACAGCAGAATCTGGCCTGTTGAATGTAAGTGGTTTTATGAAATGATGGAAAACAAACAGGTGTTTATCTACAAGTACTCAATGCTGCACAATTCAAAAAGAGATCTGATAACATACTAAAAGAATGAGCTAAGCATCCAAAATAAATTACAGGGGAAAAATAAAAATTTTGCCAACTTGCCAAAACAATACTAATAATCCCTTTAAAACCTTTTTACCTTTTCAAAACACTTAAACAATAATCAAATCTCACAAGATCTCTTTGAGGTACCATAGACGTTAAGTACTAGTAGTGAGTATTGTCATCCATATTTTACTAAGGACAAAATTAAGGCAAACTAGTTAAGGGGTTTGCCCAAACCCAGGAAGGGATTCCATCTCAAAGCAGCATTGGAGCTCAGGAGTCCCTAGCTCACATTCTTGTAAATCACAGATTAATATCTTCCTTTCACTACATGCCAAAAATATATAAGAGATTTGAAAGAAATCAGAATGGTCTTGAGCCATGTTTTAAAGAGCATGAGAGGGCAACTTCAGTATATTTACAGGAGGCAAGAATTACAAAGTTATGCACTTAGAAAGGTAAACTGTTTTTTTTTTCACAATGGTTTTATTTGCCAAGATTTATGGGTAAAGCTGAAGGGTTGTTCAGACAGACAGTGGTCATTCAACTAATGAAACTGAATATAAAGAACACCTTCACCTGTAACGAGTTATACTTTTGGAAATGAATGAATGGCATAAGCTGGGGGGGAGGGGAAGGGAGAATAATAAATCTGACTTTTATAACTTTGACATTTTTTAGTTAAGTATTGTGAACAAGACTTCTTCCTAGTGCAATTACTATATAATTTAGCAATGATACTATACTTCCTGCATTTGACACTCTCTTTACTGTATTTGTGTGGCAAATTTTAAAACTCTCATCCAAATATAGCTAGTCATAAATCACCGATTGTAATTCTTACATTGCCTAGTGGTTTTTCTTTTTTCAATAGATCCTAGTATAGATGCATTACAACAGCAGGATTGAATTCCATCACACTATGTATCTTGAACGGTTAATAGTCAATTATTTATTCCAAAATTAATGCATTACAAAAACACTAAGTAACAGGGGGGAAAAGTCACTTCTGAATGCATGGAGCCACTATTTTAAATGATAAAAACTGTTTTACTGGGCATCACCTTAGCTGATATAATAAAGATCTACATGCAATTTAAAATATATATATAAAATTATAAATTATGCAAATTTCACTCTGCCCAACATCACTATTTTGAAATCGGGGTTGGGTGGGTGGTAATTAGCATATATCTAGCCCAGAAGTCCAAAACAGACCCTCACCTGTTTAGAAAGCAGCTTCCTGCAGAGAGTATACAAGGTAGTAAACTTCTTGGCTAACAAGCGTGCATCAATAAATCCCTCAGCAACCAACATAATTTCACAGATCAGTTCAATGTCAGGGACAACCATAGCACAGGGTCTTAAAAAAAAGTCAAAATACCCAGATTAGTATTTAAGCATGGTAAGAACAAGTCACCTAAATCAAGTGACTGATGTGTATAAACATTCTTAAACAGAGCTCAAGAGAGTCACAATTATGTGAGTCAGTCAGAGCGAACAAGGACTCTGCTTCAAATTAAAAAATAATGGTTAATTAGGCACTGTGGATTATTAGCATTCAGTAACACTGCTACATACAAAGGACACGGCTGAAAAGTACAGAGCTTTCAAGTCAGATACTGCAGCCTCCTCAGCGTTAGTGCCTCAGAACAATATATGATTCTGTCACTTAGTGTGATGGACTGGCAGACACTTGCAAGGCGCAGTTAATACTGGAACATACAAAGACCTGCCACTCGAGTCATGGTCACCATTTTGGATTTGCTCTTTTCAAGAGTGAATCCTCCTGGAGGACTGTTTAAGATGGAATAAAACTTTTTTCCTTTTTTTTTTAAACATTATTTTTATTCTGGTTTTTAAAACAGAATACACATTGGCAAGCCATCCAACCATTAAAACATCTCAGTCAACACAAAACCAAAAACAGACACACATAAAGAGAGAGAGAAGATCAAAGACGCCCCTCATTAAAACACTGTTTGAACATGTAGAAGTTCCTAATTTTTTCCATAGGGTGGATTACATTTTAACAGAGATTGTGTCTCATGGAACATCTTTTCCTTCCTTCTGCGATCAAATGGACTTCTCCCATTCACAATCATGAAGGGAAACAGAAACTAACAAAAAGGTTCAGAACAAGTGCTTCATGTATTCCAAGGAATTTTCCTCACATACATCAAGGTGCAAAAAACCTTGTAGTGGACAATTCTGGAATAAAAGTATAGGGAAAATTCTTCCTAATCCTTATTAGTGGTTGCCATGTATCCTAAAGTATGAAGGTTTATACTCCATCTATATCCTATCTAACAGAACGTAACTCAAGTGGCAAACACAGTAATGGCTTGCATGGAATATTAGTTTACTATTTGATATGTTTTTAGCTGTCTCTTCTGAGATTTTTGTAGATGGCGACAAGAGGCGTTAGTAGAGCCTTGTGCGGATATAAAATGTGTATCCGCAGCTCCTCACTTGTTATTCATCCTCATCTCTTAATAGTTGTAGAAGAAAGTAGTAGCAGTGAACAAACATGCACTGCTAAAAAGAACCCAAAACCAAAAACCCATAGGGCCCATTTCTGCCCTAAAGTTCTACCTTGTAAAAATCAGCCACAGAGACGCATGGCTCTGTGAGTGAGAGCTTGGAATGCCAATTCAGCCCTAAAAAGTCTTACAGCTTACTCCAGTCACTTAAAATATTGAGGTCTAGTGAACTTCAAAATCACTCATTTTCTTTTGAGGCTGGATGAAATCATGAAAAGCACTAAGGCAAAAGTAAAGATTTTGGGTCAAAGTCAAATGTTTATGTAAGCAGGTGTCACTCCACTGAAGTAAAAATATATTTCCAGTCAGATCCCAGTAGAATTTCAAATCTAATCATCAGATTAAAATCACAATTGGCATAGGTGCTTACCATTCTGTGGATTAAATGGAGGAATACCTGCTTATACAGAGGTGAATTTAGTCCTACAAACCTATTTTGACAATTTAACAACCACCACAGATTAGAATTATATATGCAACATATAAAGGAAGTTAAAGATAATATAAAAGGTTAGAGCTTGCACTTCTTAGATTTTAATTATATTCTTTGGTAATATGGCGTATTATGCAACATGTATTTTAGGTAAAGCTACTAAAATGACCAAAAATATATTAAATTGTTTTGCAGTGCTTATGCTTCATGTCTGTCCAATAATCACCAACCCAACAATTTAGCAACTAAAACAAGGGCCATATTTTCAATAACTGCATATGAAACATGTATGTACATGGGCATACTTACATCTGTGCAAGCATACAAAAAGTAGGGCTGTCAAGCGATTAAATTAATTGTGCGATTAAAAAAAATAATTGTGATTAATCGCATTGTTAAACAATAATGGAATACCATTTATTTAAATATTTTTGGATGTTTTCTACATTTTCAAATATGTTGATTTAAATTATAACACAGAATACAAACTGTACAGTGCTCACTTTATATTTATTTTTGATTACAAATATTTGCACTTTAAGAAAAGAAATAGTATTTTTCAATTCACCTCATATAAATACTGTAGTGCAGTCTCTTTATCATGAAAGTTGAACTTACAAATGTAGAATTATGTACCAAAAAAACGGCATTCAAAAATAAAACTCAAAAATAAAACACAATGTAAAACTTTAGAGCCTAAAAGTCCACTCAGTCTTACTTCAACCAATCGCTCAGACAAACAAACTTGGTTACAATTTGCAAGAGATCATGCTGCCCGCTTCTTGTTTACAATGTCACCTGAAAGTGAGAACAGGCATTTGCACGGCACTGTTGTAGCCAGCGTCACAAGATATTTACATGCCAGATGTGCTAAAGATTCATATGTGCCTTCATCTTCAACCACCATTCCATAGGACATGAGTCCATGCTGATGATGGGTTCTGCTTGATAACAATCCAAAGCAGAGTGACCGGCGCATTTTCATTTTCATCATCTGAGTTAGATGCCACCAGCAGAAGGTTGATTTTCTTTTATGGTGGTTCAGGTTCTGTAGTTTCCGCATGAGAGTGTTGCTCTTTTAAGACTTCTGAGAGCATGCTCCACACCTCATCCCTCTTAGATGTTGGAAGGCACTTCTGAACTTTAAACCTTGGGTCGAGTGCTATAGCTATTTTTAGAAATCTTACATTGGTATCTTCTTTGTGTTTTGTCAAATATGCTGTGAAAAAGTGTTCTTAAAACAAACGTGCTGGGTCATCATCCGAGACTGCTATAACATGAAATATATGGCAGAATGTGGGTAAAAAAGCAGGGAACATACAGTTCTCCCCTAAGGAGTTCAGTCTCAAATTTAATTAAGGCATTATTTTTTAATGAGCATCAGCAGCATGGAAGCATATCCTCTGGAATGGTGGCTGAAGCATGAAGGGGCATATGAATGTTTAGCATATCTGGCACATAAATACCTTGCAACACTGGCTACAAAAGTGCCATGCAAATGCCTGCTCTCACTTTCAGGTGACATTGTAAATAAGAAGCAGGCAGCAGCATCTCCTGTAAATGTAAACAAACTTGTTTGTTTTAGCGATTGGCTGAACAAGAAGTAGAATTGAGTGGTCTTGTAGGCTCTAAAGTTTTACATTGTTTTGTTTTTGAGTGCAGTTATGTTACAAAAACAAAAATCTACATTTGTAAGTTGCACTTTCATGGTAAAGAGATTGTACTACAGTACTCGTATGACGTAAATTGAAAATATTATTTCTTTTGTTTATCATTTTTACAGTGCAAATATTTGTAATAAAAATAATATAAAGTGAGCACTGTACACTTTGTGTTCTGTGTTGTAATAGAAATCAATATATTTGAAAATGTAGAAAACATTCAAAAATATTTAATAAATTTCAGTTGGTATTCCATTGCTTAACAGTGCAATTAATCGTGATTAATTTTTTTTAAAATCACAATTAATTTTTGAGTTAATCACATGAGTTAACTGTGATTAATTGACAGCCTTAATAAAAAGGTAAATTTCGTGCCTTTCAACCTATTTGCATAGATTTCCATATACAACTGCTGTAATTACTCACAAAATAGTGGGTATCCTTGTACACATGTATGTTTTATGTGTAGATCTTCCATGTTATTAAATACTCAAAAGTTTTACATCTTATATATGTAAAAATATGAAAAAAGTTCCATTATTAAGTGCATCCATCCCTATCAATTTGTATGGGCAGAAATAACCGTGTTGAACATTTTCACAGAAACTCTGAAATAAGTAGAAACTGTCTTACATTGCAAACCAGGCCAGTGACATTAGATGGCATGAGTACTCTAAATGATAATCTATAGTATACTTGCCTGAATAGAGCTTTGAGATTTTCGGGTAGTTCTGTTCGACCAGCATATCCTGGGTTCATGGTAATAAATATCCCAACTGACGGTTTCAGTGTAATGTTTTCTCCAAGGAATAAAAATCTGCAATAGCCATGACATGATGTAAGTAAAATGACTTGCTATAATACTGCAGTTTGATTAGAGGCCAACAATTATTTCCATCTTTTAAAAAATCCAAAGAAAAACCTCGGAATGCAGAACTGCATTTGAAATGGAGAACAGATTGTCTGATTTAGGAAAAAAAAATCTGTGCAGGTAATTGTGACCAAGAAGAGGTATGTGGTAGGTTGTTATGGTGCTTCCCAATCCAAGAGAAAAAAATATAAGAAAGATACAGAAGGAAATGGGGCAGATCCTCAGCTGATATAAACCGTCATAGCTCCATTGACTTCAGTGGAATTAGGACAAAATCTACCACAGCCAAGGAACTGCTCCATAGTATGTAATAACTCTACATAGGGTGAAATCCTAAAGTTAAAGTGAATGGCAAAGCTCCCATTAACTTCAGTGGGGCCAGTATTTCACCCATATTCTAGGTGTTTTCTTCTTATAATTTTGGGGAGAGGGCTAATCTTAGATATTAAATAAGCTTCTAGGTATACATATATTACACACACACACACACACGAATTTACAAGGGAGGGCTCAACATCTGTCCATAACAGGATTTTTAGAAATATACTTCTAAATTTTTGTACTTATGTCTTTGCAAAGGCCTATAAAAGAAATGACATTAAAATACTTACTTTTTCCTCTTATTTCTAATGGCATCGTGTATGGTCTTTACTTGCACTGCCACCACTGATAGGACTTCTACTGAAATTCGATTAAACTCATCAAAGCATCCCCAAGCACCTGTCTGGACCAGACCTTTATAGATGTTTCCTATGGACTAAAAGATAGAACCAGCCATTTAGTACTTATTTTCAGAAAGATTAAAGTTTTTGTAATGTATTGTATGTTAAAAAAATAAAATAGTACTGAAACCACTGTTTGATAAAATACCGTACCTTATAGTCCATCTGTTCAGAACAGTTGAAGACATAGACCATCATACCAAGGGCACGGCCCAGGTCTTTGGTGGTCTCTGTTTTGCCTGTGCCAGCTGGCCCTGCAGGAGCCCCACTCATTGTCAGGTGTAGAGACTGTGTTAGAGTAATGTAACACCTTTAAGCAATGAGACACAATTATTACTGCATGCAAAGAATGTTACTAACATGGTGGAGATTTTAAAACCACAAAAGCTGGGAAATTTAGGATATCACCAAAACCTTAATTGTATATGTTGTGCATATATGTTATAATAGGATCTTGCATGATATGGACCACGTAAAAAGTGAAGTGTGACATGTTAATTTGCAAATATTTATTTTACATATATAAGCCAATTGTGTAGAATGGTACATACACTAATTGCAATACTTGTCAGATTACACTGAGAACCTATAGCACATCAACTAGGGAATATTTTATTTTATCTATTTTACAAACACAAAGATCATACCATTTGTTTTATTTACACACACGCACATAAAGGTATTGCATCTGTCATATTAAGAAGGACCGTAAACACATTTATGAAAGAACACAGAGGTTTGCTATGGAAAATTTAACTTTGTATTCTATTAAATGGATCAAGCAGAGATAGTTCATTATTAACAGTCAGTACCTGTCAGTCAGAGGTGTAATAACTAGACGAGAGGTATTTCCCAAATACTCATAAAAGTACTGGAATTGAGCATCGCAAATGTTGGCAAGGCAGTGTTTCTGGGCCTCATCCCATCTATGGCGTAGTTGTGACAGCCAAGCAAAAGCTTGGGAACTAGTGACCTAAAACCATCGCACAAACATAGCGTCATGTGGAAGCTGTGGAGATGAAAGAAACCAGACACTCCCAAAAGATTTAACTGTCATCAGCAGGTTTCACACCTTGTCTTTTACAAGTAATTACTACTACACGCAATTATAAGGGATTATACTTACTTCCAGGCATGCTGAGAGCCATTGAACCAAATCGTAAACCCTGTATATAATGGAAACCACTTCAAGCCAGGGGGATGCAGCAGAACTCCCAGCATCCCGGTTCCAGCACCTATGATTACCTCCCAAACCCTTTTCATTCTCCATCCAATATAAGGTGATATGCATTCAGACCACTGACATGTATCTGTAACTTCAGTTTCACCAGAACAAAAGTTTTGTGTGTAGGAATATATTTATCCTACAACCACCATGCTGACAGACAGGCCTCCAGTTCTGGAGGACTAAACAGAGATCAGAACAAAACAACTAATGGCTAAATAATCAAAGATGGAGAAGCTACATAGAGAAGCTACACAGAAAGACAGACTAGTTCCAGACATGCCTTCATGGAACCCATCATCTGAAGAACAGACTTGGCTTACCCAGGGATAACTTGCACTCATAAATTTTATGATCTAAGGTTCTGAAATGAACCCTTTGCTGATCAAAGTTTGAACCTGGTTTGAACCATCCTACAAATGGGTAAAAAAAAAAAGTTCTTGGTTTGATTCATCACCCAAGTATGAGACTCCAGAATGCAATGTACCACAGAGAGAGGTATGGCCAGAAGTTCAGTACATGGGTGGGAAGCAGGTAGTCCTTGTGCCCACAACTATATCATCTGCCCCTTCCTTATGCACTCATGCAAGCCTGGACACATGCTTGGCTTAAAGTTCTTTTCTTTTCTTTTTTTTCTTTTAAACCCTAAAACATTGTATGAAGAAAAAGTTACACCCTATAATTTACCTTTTGAGCAACAAGTTTTGCCACCACATCTCGAGCATGAACATCTATAGTGCAAATGGTCATGATCTTCTGTCTGTCACCTGAGGCAAGTTCTCCCAGCAACAAAGCAATGAGAGCGTTTAGCTGAGCAATCTAAAAAGATGACAATTTTGTTGCAACATTTCATTCCACTGCCCCAGTCACACCACTACAGGAGATACATTCTGCCTATATAATGAATTCAATTACCACATAAGCTATCTTGCACATGCATGGTTATAACTCACCAAGTATGTTTGGAACACTGGATCAGTTCTGGGCATATCAGGAGTAAAAATATGGTGATTATTTGGAAGGCGTTTGGGGGAAAGGACTAGTTAGTTTGTCTAAAAAACAACTAATACAATAATGGCCCCAAACAGAAGCAGAAATGATTAAAGTGGTTCAGAGGAGTTAAATAGGACATTGGGATAAAGTTAAACAGAAACTTTTATAGTCAATATCAGGAAAACCTTCTAAATGGTGAGATCTATTAGACTGCAGAAACGCCTTTCAAGGAAAGGGGGGAAATGATTCTTTGCTTCAGACATTTTTACTGGACAAAGTACTTGAAAATATACTGTATGAAAGTACAATGGCTTGAGGTTTAAAGAAGTACAACAGAATGAATGGAGGAATTATTAAATGTGATATTAATGAAGTTACTTATAGCTGCACTGTGAAAATACCCTTAATGAATGTGTTTTCTTCAAAACACTTCACATTGATAGTAAAGAAGATCATAGCCTGTGGCTGGGCACATGTTTAATTAGGCAAACAGAACATTAATAGAGTGCATATAATGTATTGTGTAAGCGATGTATGATACAGCTGTGTTGGTCAGTGTTCAGACCCTACTATGAAAAAAGGATTCAAGAATGAATTAGACCTCAAAAGCTATGCTTTTTCATTATTAGCATAATGCAATTTAGCCATCAGCTTTCTTGTAGTCCCCAGATTTAAGGGTCTGGTAGTTATCTAAGTGATAACTTAGTGATGACTTTTGAGAATTACAATTGTAATTCCTAATTTGTTTACTTTATAGCAAGATTTTTTTTAAATGGGTTATTTACCTTGGGTTTAGGCTACCATACCATAACTTCATGGGATACACTAATCTGATTACAAAGGACATTTGAATGGCAAAATTTCAAGTTGAATTACTCTGCACCCTGATAAGTCTCAAACACTTCTCCCCACAAAAAAATGTTATTCATTTATAAAATCTTAGAAAGTTGCCTAATTTAGGGTGACCAGCTGTCCTGTTTTTATAGGGACAGTCCTGTTTTGGGGGATTTTTTCTTATATAGACGCCTTTTATCCCACACTCCCTGCCCCATTTGTTCACAGTTGCTATCCGGTCACCCTATCTAATGTATATAAGGTTCTCGGGTCCACTCCATGCTCTTAGGGGTGCAAAGGGAGCAAAATGCTCCCACAAGGGAGGGTGTCCCAGAGGGGGAATAACTGGAACACAGAGTAGTGGTGTATGGTGCCTAAAGACGAATCCCTGCTAGCTGGCACAGTTTAGAGTAGCCTGCTTCAGGGCCAGGGCTGAGAACCAAGGAATGGGCTCCTTGTGAGCACCCTTGCCATGTTCTACCGAGCAAAAGGACAAGAGGTACAGTATGTATCTGTTAGATGAAGAAATATCAAAAAACCATAGCAACTCATCAATTTTTAAGTAGACTTCTCTACCTCTTTCAAGGGGAGATGGAGGGATTCTGCTTAAAAATTTATGACACAATATCAGGCAGTGCTATGACTTACATAATTTGATGGGTTTGATTTTTTTCATTCTTAGCTTGCAGATATGATGAAAAAATTATTTAGTTCTGACATATCATCCATTATAATCAAATCAGATCTAGTTTTTAAAAATTAAGCTATTTAATTTGAAAGTTTGAAAGAAAAAAGAATGCAAACATTAGAACACCATTTTAAAATGAGAATCATGGGTAACAGCATAGCTGCTATTAAAACACCAGGAAATACCCATTTGGGGACTGGAACTAAAACTAACCAAAGTTTCAAACTGAGCTCTGAGGGCTTATTGTCAAATCAAACCTAGCACGGTCCTAACAGACCCACAGGTTTTGGCTTCCTAACATATGCATTATTACCCTCCCACTCTTCAGGCACATATATGTATGGGCGTGTGCACCCTAATATCATGGTGGTCCAATCAAGTTTTTGTTGTCTACCAGTATTCAGTACATTTGAATTACTACATTTTCAAAATTACTAGTGATCTTTGGGTGTCCCAATTTTTGGGTGCTCAAGTTGAGATGCCTTACAATAGGAATAGCAGCAATTCTGGAATGCTGAATGACAGCAGATCCTTCCTAATTTTCAGAGAGTGGTGGTCAGCACTTTCTGAAAGCCAAGCCCCTGAAAGATGACTCAAGGTGCAGATCATACAACTAAGGCACCCAAAATCACCAATAGCTTTTGAAAATAAAAGCCCATATCACATTTTCTGAATAAATGCCCCCTCATCTGTCTTTAATTATCAAAAATACCTACCTCAAAGAACTGAATTTGATATTATCTACGTTTCCAGATTTGAGACAGTTTTAGGTCACAAACTATCCATGTTTGAGAAATACTAATAATTATAGAAAAAAATCCTATAGTTTGTAGCACCTTGGCTTTTACTCTTCTTCTTGCTCCAAAATGAACCCACAGAAAGCTATAAGGGCAATTTTCATTGATCATCTATAGGGGAAGAGAGAATCAGAAGCAAGAGGCATATTTCCTTTTCTTCAGAGGATGGCAATAGCAGGTAGCCAATAAATAGTCTGACTAAAAAAAAAAAACATTTAACATGCCAGCGAAGCATTTCTGGGTGATCGGTACAGTATGAAAATGGAAACTTGTTTTCATACAATATAAGCAAGACATCAATACCTGTTTTTTATTGTAATCCTTCAGGGCCATTTCAAATCCCTCCTCCAGCCTGTTGAATGCTATTCCTACATCTGTTGTCCACCAGATTTGTGAGCTGGTAAGTGAAACTTGAGCTGGGTAGTCAAAAATCCATTGCTCTCTGGGCTTTTCTTCATAGGCAGCTATAGCCTGCATGATATGATGATGCACTGTTTTACACATGGTTTCTTCAAGTTGTTGTAACCAGGTCTCCACCTTTTGAAAAAAAGAGACATGCTGCATCAGAGTTCAGAATATTTTAATGAGGGAGAAGCTTCCTACTTTACTGGTATAATGAATAGTATTTAAACAGCTATTTGTCAAGGTATTTCTTTGCACTCATTAATAAAATAAAACACACACAAACCCTTTTTTCTACTTCCAATTAGAACCAGTTTTCTTTCCATGTTTCGCCCTGTTTTCATCATGGTTGTTTGGTATTGCAAGGCTATTTATGAGTGCTGCGATACTAGCATAGTGCCCTGCCCAGAAAAGTTCTTTATTATCTGAAGAACTGGTACAGAGTGGGCATTGGCAATGCAGTCTTCCTGATGTCACTCTTCCAACATGCAAAAACCTTGTTTTGGAGGAACCACCTTTAAGAGGCAAGTTGAGCCACCTTGCATGTTCAGTCTCTGGCTTCCCTACTCAGACAACCAACAAGGTTGCCAATTAGTGCCAGTTGTGAGAGCAGTTTTCTAATGTGAACTCTTGTCTAATATGGGCAGTGGATCAAGACCAACAAATTCTTGTCATTCAACCGTCACCAGATGGTAACTGCTTTCAGATGCTACCCAACTAGGTTCTGTGTGTATCCCATCATTAATCCTGTCCCACTTTTTTTTTTTTTTTAAAAAGAGTATGGAAACAATTATTGTGCAATGAACACCAAAGAACTACATGGGCTTAGAAAACCAGTCAAAATATTCGGCCGAAAAACTGGTGCTACAGATCTTGGCAGCCTCCTGTACAAAAAAAAGGAACATAACCATAAGAACACCAAATATAGGTGAAGCATTCTAGTCACATACATTTCCCCCTAAAATTAAACACATTTACAAGAATTATGGTGTATATTTAACAAGAACTATGTATTTTTTCTTCAGTTGGAAAACATAACTTTCTTTAAATTAGTGCTTGTAGTTTTAGCTAATAGTTATTTGTCTCCATGGTTTTCATTTCTCAGTTTCAGTAGCATTAAGGAATTTAACCTGATTGTCTGAAATTTAACCTTACTGAAAGAAAATTATTTTTGGGTGCGATAAAAGGCTTAAAATTAAGTTTGATCGCAGACTAATATCTGCTTACATGTTCTGTTTGTATTTACAGATTATGCAGTGTCAAGTGTCATTTCAACTTTCCTTGCCAAGTATACATGATCGCTAATTGAAGACATAAAATATTCTTTAAAGGTTTCAGGGTGTGCAACGGTATTTTCCAGTTTGACTGGTGCCTGTCTAAGTAGGGTGTGGGGAGAGGTAGAAGGAAATAGCACAAACTTACCTCAGAAAGCTGCATGACCTTCGATCCATCCTGTCCCCATCCCTTCCCAGCCACTGCTTTTTGAAAACCACCTACTTTCCCTATATTTGTTTCATGGAAGCTCCCATAATGTGTTTGGCAGCAAGAACAGCTCACATATATAGGGCTACAGGCTCATGCAGCAGCCCAGGGGATCCCTAATGGAAACCGCTTCTCTGAGCGGCATGTAAGTTTCTGTGAGTAGAGAACAAGGAAGGAAAACTACCCTGGAAGGAAAATGGGGAGGCTATCACCAAGGAAGAGAGGGAGGGAAAAAAATATCACAACACTCAATCAAAACAAAAAGAGAACAGAAACAGAAAGGGATTAAGAAGTGAGAAAATGGAGAGATGAAGGAAACTGGGCCAGGACATGAACAAGGATCCCTCATTAAGGCAACACCATCTGCCAATCCACACCACAAAAGACAGGGGAGAGCCTCTAACAATAAACGAAAAAGAAAATGACTGACATAAAGGTTGAGATAGAATCAACTAACTACTTCTCTCTCCTTCCAGGCAACACACTGATGAGAAAGGAGATAACAATGCATTTTGATCAATAAGTGGCTTATATGGTGACGTTTCTCCAATTATTGCAAAAATTAAAAGATCAAGACAGATATTTTGATTAAATGTGCTTGTTTCCCTATCAGTAGATTAGGGTTACACACACGCAAATCTAACAAGGGACAATGAGAGAGAAAAGGATCTGTTCTAAATAAATAAGGAACAAGGGTATTTGAAATCCAAAAAAAGAAGGAAAAAAAAAAAAAAGACGTGTAGAAAGCCTTAAGATATGTGGATTTCCAAGTTGAAACTGTCCCAAAAACAGTTATATGGCTGAAAACACAGACAGATATTGATCTCGATAGCACTGAAGAATCACATGAAGATTAATTTCTCTAAAGTAGTTGACCGAAGCAGGCTTTCCATCTTGTTGTAACTCTCCTTTTCATACTAACCACATAACCAAAAGTAGTTTTTGTGCAAAAACAACACACAAGTAGCTTCTACTTTGCATTTGTCCCTTTTGTTTTTGGGCTCTATTACCTTGACTCATTTTTTATTTGTTGCCCATACTTGCCTTTACTCAGAGCCGCTGGGCTCAAAATTTATGGTGCATATTTTTTTGACAGCACATGTGGTGTTATTAGGTTTCCCAGACATCTAATGTAACATAACCTGTCTTTTAGATAGCCCCAAGTGTCTAAACACAGCATGTCTTCCTACTTTCTACTATTAAATATATTTTGGAACATAAATGTCAATAAGTATGCTCAGGAAGAGGAGATTACTTACTGTAACTGAAGATTCTTCAAGATGAGTGGTCCCTATTTGGATTCCAGATGTGGGTGTTCATGCATACCATGTGCTGGAGCTAGAACTGTTTGTAGAAATGTCCACTGACCCGTATGTGCATCGTGCATTGACCACAAGGCACATCCAAGGTTTTAAGAGGCTGAGCGGGTCGATGCCGCTCCAGGTCCCTCTTACCCACAAACAATGGGAGGCAGCAGCAGAGGGTACGGAGGACAGATATTGGAATCCAAATAGGAACCACACATCTTGAAGAACCTCCAGTTACAGTAAGTAACCTGCTCTTCTTCTTCGAGTAATGGTCCTTATATGGATTCCAGATGTGGGAGAGTAGCAAGCAGTGCTTAGCGTGGAGGTGGGTTCACAGACTTGCAAGCAGTCTGTAGGATGGCGTGGCCGACTGCTGCATCCGCCACAGGGGTGTCCTGCCACAGTATGCTCATGAGAAAGGCCAACATGGCCACAAGCACCCACGTGGAGTGGGCTATGACTCCGGGGGCAGGGGAGAGAAATGTGAGAGAGCACCTAGTGTTCCTCAGTACAACGGGAGAGCCATTTGGAGAGATGTTGCAAGGAGAGGGCATGGCCCCGGCAGTGCTCCATGATGGTGAGGAAGAGCCAGGGCGAGACATGGAAGGTGCGGGTGCGATGGAGATAAAAGGCCAGTGCCTGGCAGACATCAAGGAAGTGCAGTGTTTGTGCCCTGGGGGAGATGTGCAGATTAGGGTAGAAGATTGGAAGGTGTATGCACTGGTTTAGGTGGAACAGGGAGGCCATCTTGGGGAGAAATTTGGGGTGTGTTGCGGTTCAAATACAAGACAGGACAAGCTTTAAGCAAGCAAGCAGGCTGGTCTGCCGATGGGCTGGTCCGCCTGTCAGCTTTTCCACCCTCTCCTTTATTTCTCTCTCTCCCCCTGCGCACTACATACTCCAACAGATAAAAGAAATACACTGGCTTTGTATAATATTCTTATTTACCAATTTCTATCTACCGCATTCCTTGCCCTCGGGCCTTGAGCCCAGTTCTGGGAGGCTTCCCACAGTTCATGTCATCTGGGCGAGATTCCAAGGTTCATGCCCTTGAGAGGAGCCATGTGTGCACTGCTCCTACACAACACTCCGGGTATGCTCTGAATGTTGCCAAGTGCATGAACCTTGCATGAATGCTACATCCCCTCCTTTTTTGTTTATTTGTGCTCGGCCATCTAATGGTAGCCATCAATTTGCTTTTGCAAGCCATATTAACTCCTGGACAGACAAGGTATAACTCATGGAGCCTGCCAGGGCGGGTCTCGACGAAGCCTTAACAAAAAGGAAATACATTGCACACAGCAACAGCAAAAAAATAAGCCCAAGAAGGTAAAGTGTAGTTGGCCGGGCCCCAATTAGCCATGCTAGAGTACTGGGAAGAGAGGTTCGCGTAAGCAGCGAGCATCATCTCATTCCCTATTTCTTCAGGGTGATGACATACTGGAATAAGACACGTACCTAACAATTCTTCAGCTGCTACAAAATCAAACAAACAAAAGTGGGTAACATTTGCTATTCAAGCTAATCTTTCCCATAGGTTTTATTTCATTCGGGCCCGTAACGGAGGAGGCGCTACCGAGTCAACCCCTACAGGAAATAGCAGGCACATAAGGCACACAATCAATACAGAATTAGCAGTGATTTGGGCGAGAATGGCCACAAACAGAGTCTCAGGAGTCTCTGGCTGTTGGTTTGCTGCCAGTCTTCGTTGAGCCGCGGGGACCAATGCTTTCACTGCTCCCCATGTCACGGGCTGGCTTGGGACGCTACGTCTCCTCCGTCTCCGTCCCGCCATTGTCGACCCGGGAGGCACCGCATTCTCCTCCAAGGTCAGCTGAAACTCCGGTATGGGGTTCGACAGCCCATGGTGCCACGCCATGCTGTTTCAGTGCCGGTCGCACACACCAGGCCGGAACCCACAACGGTCCTGCAGGGAGACACACAGCAGCATATCCCCGACCCCAAGTAATTAAAGGTACTGGGCCCAACCATTGCGGATCGGGCAGCTGACGGTAATAGACACGCGGTCTTTCCAGTACCTCGGACTTATGAAAATGCCGATCCGCGGGGGTCTGCTGATCTGCATTCAGCATTAAATTATTTAAAGTAAACAAAAGGATATGCAATTGTTGCTGAATATCTCCTAAGGTTCAGAGACGCAGCTCCCCTTGTTTTAATTGTTTGTCAAGCAACGTTTTTAGCGTGCAATTTGCACGTTCAACAATAGCTTGGCCTGTGGAATTATAAGGGATCCCGTGTTTGAGACGGACGTCCCATTGGGCACAAAAGGTGGATAGGGCTGTGGAGCAATAGGCTGGGGCATTATCCGTTTTTATTTGGCTCGGG